CCTCTACCTTTGTAGCACCAAACCAAATCCAACCAACCCTCCAACATTCCAGGTTTGACTAAACTCCTAGCTACATCCACAATCTCTCTACCTTTTGTAGCACTAAACCAACCAACCCCCATACCAGGTCTCTCCAACTCCTCCTACATCCACAACCCCCTACCTTTGTAGCACCAAACCAACTGGACTAACTCCTAACATTCCAGGTTTGACTCAAACTCCTACTTCCACAATCCCTCTACCTTTGTAGCACTCAAACCAACCAACCAATCCCTCAACATTCAAGGTTTGACTAAACTCCTACATCCCTAACTCTCTACCTTTGTAGCACTGAACCAACCAACCAACCCACACATACCAGGTCTCACCTTCAACCTCCTATACATACCTAATCCTCTACCTTTGTAGCACCAAATCAACCAACCAACCCCATACCAGGTCTCACCAAACTCCTACATCCACAACCCCTACCTTTGTAGCACCAATCCAACCAACTCCCCACATACTCAGGTTTGACTAACCTCCTACATCCCTTAACTCTACCTTTTGTAGCACCAAACCAACCAACTAACCCTAACATTCCAGGTTTGACTAAACTCCTACTTCCACAATCCTCTCTACCTTTGTAGCACCAAACCAACTAACCCCTAAACATTCCAGGTTTGACCTAACCTCCTACATCCCCAACTCTACCTTTGTAGCACCAAACCAACCAACCAACACCCACATACCAGGTCTCACTCAAACTCCTACATCCCCTAATTCTCTACCTTTGTGTAGCACCAAACCAACCAACCAACGCCCACATACCAGGTCTCACCACCAAACTCCTACATCCATAATTCCCCTACCTTTGTAGCACCAAACCAACCAACCAACCCCCACATACATACCAGGTTTGACCTCAAACTCCTACATCCACAATTCCTACCTTTGTAGCACCAAACCAACCAACCAACTCCCCACATACCAGGTTTGACCCACTCCTCCTACATCCACTAATCCCCTACCTTTGTAGCACCAAACCAACCAACCCCCCATACCAGGTCTCACCAACCTCCTACATCCACAACCCCCTACCTTTGTAGCACCAAACCAACCAACCAACTCCCTAACATTCCAGGTTTGACCAAACTCCTACTTCCACAACTCTACCTTTGTAGCACCAAACCAACCAACCAACCCCAACATTCCAGGTTTGACTAACCTCCTACATCCCCTATCCCCTACCTTTGTAGCACCAAACCCACCAACCAACCCCAACATTCCAGGTTTGACCAAATTCCTAGCTACATCCACAATCCCTCTACCTTTTGTAGCACTTAAACCAACCAACCAACCCTAACATTCCAGGTTTGACCAAACTCCTACTTCCACAACCCCCTACCTTTGTAGCACCAAACCAACCAACCAACCCCAACATTCCAGGTTTGGACTTCAAACTCCTAGCTACATCCACAATCCCCCTACCTTTGTAGCACCAAACCAAACCAACCCCCTACATACCAGGTCTCACCAAACTCCCTACATCCACAACCCCTACCTTTGTAGCACCAAACCAACCAACCAACTCTTAACATTCCAGGTTTGACCAAACTCCTACATCCACAATTCCCCTACCTTTTGTAGCACCAAACCAACTAACCCCCCACATACCAGGTTTGACTCAACCTCCTACATCCACAATTCCCCTACCTTTGTAGCACCAAACCAACCAACCCCATACCAGGTCTCACCAACCTCCTACATCCACAACCCCCTACCTTTGTAGCACCAAACCAACCAACCAACCCCTAACATTCCAGGTTTGACCAAACTCCTACTTCCACAATCCTCTACCTTTTGTAGCACCAAACCAACCAACCAACCCCTAACATTCCAGGTTTGACCAACCTCCTACATCCCTATCCCCCTACCTTTGTAGCACCAAACCCACCAACCAAACCCCAACATTCCAGGTTTGACCAAATTCTAGCTACATCCACAATCCCTCTCTACCTTTGTAGCACTAAACCAACCAACCAACCCCAACAACATTCCAGGTTTGACCAAACTCCTACTTCCACAACCCCCCTACCTTTGTAGCACCAAACCAACCAACCAACCCCAACATTCCAGGTTTGACTAAACTCCTAGCTACATCCACAATCCCTCTACCTTGTAGCACCAAACCAACCAACCCCCATACCAGGTCTCACGAAACTCCTACATCCACAACCTCCTACCTTTTGTAGCACCAAACCAACCAACTAACCCTAACATTCCAGGTTTGACTAAACTCCTACTTCCACAATCCCTCCTACCTTTGTAGCACCAAACCAACCAACCAACCCTAACATTCCAGGTTTTGACTCAAACTTCTACATCCACAATCCCCTCTACCTTTGTAGCACAGAACCAACCAACCAACCCCAACATTCCAGGTTTGACCAAACTCCTACATCCCCAATCCCCCTTCCTTTGTAGCACCAAATCAACCAACCAACCCCCATCCCAGGTCTCACCAAACTCCTACTTCCACAATCCCCCTCTACCTTTGTAGCACCAAACCAACCAACCAACCCCTAAACATTCCAGGTTTGACTAAACTCCTACATCCACAATCCCCCTACCTTTGTATCACCAAATCAACCAACCAACCCCCATACCAGGTCTCACCAAACTCCTACATCCACAACCCCCCTACCTTTGTAGCACCAAACCAACCAACCCCCCAAATACCAGGTTTGACTCAACCTCCTACATCCCCAATCCCTCTACCTTTGTATCACTAAACCAACCAACCAACCCCAACATTCCAGGTTTGACTCAAACTCCTACATCCACAACCCCCTACCTTTGTGTAGCACCAAACCAACCAACCCCCTACATACCAGGTTTGACCAACCTCCTACATCCACAATTCTACCTTTGTAGCACCAAACCAACTAAACCCCTATACCAGGTCTCACCAACCTCCTACATCCACAACCCCTACCTTTGTAGCACTAAACCAACCAACCAACCCTAAACATTCCAGGTTTGACCAAACTCCTACTTCCACAATCCCCTCTACCTTTGTAGCACCAAACCAACCAACTGCAACTCCTAACATTCCAGGTTTGACCAACCTCCTACATCCCCTATCCCCCTACCTTTGTAGCACCAAACCCACCAACCAACCCTAAACATTCCAGGTTTGACCAAATTCCTAGCTACATCCATAATCCCCTACCTTTGTAGCACCAAACCAACCAACCAACCCCAACATTCCAGGTTTGACCAAACTCCTACTTCCACAACCCCTACCTTTGTAGCACCAAACCAACCAACCAACCCCAACATTCCAGGTTTGACCAAACTCCTAGCTACATCCACAATCCCCTACCTTTGTAGCACTAAACCAACCAACTATACCCCCAACCTCCTACATACCAGGTCTCACGGGAAACTCCTACATCCACAAGGTTTGACTCAAACCCCTACCTTTGTAGCACCAAACCAACCAACCAACCCCAACATTCCAGGTTTGACCAAACTCCTACTTCCACAATCCCCCTACCTTTGTAGCACCAAACCAACCAACCAACCCCAACATTCCAGGTTTGACCAAACTTCTACATCCACAATCCCCCTACCTTTGTAGCACAGAACCAACCAACCAACCCCAACATTCCAGGTTTGACCAAACTCCTACATCCCCAATTCCCTTCCTTTGTAGCACCAAATCAACCAACCAACCCCCATCCCAGGTCTCACCAAACTCCTACTTCCACAATCCCCCTACCTTTGTAGCACCAAACCAACCAACCAACCCCAACATTCCAGGTTTGACCAAACTCCTACATCCACAATCCCCCTACCTTTGTATCACCAAATCAACCAACCAACCCCCATACCAGGTCTCACCAAACTCCTACATCCACAACCCCCTACCTTTGTAGCACCAAACCAACCAACCCCCAAATACCAGGTTTGACCAACCTCCTACATCCCCAATCCCCCTACCTTTGTATCACCAAATCAACCAACCAACCCCAACATTCCAGGTTTGACCAAACTCCTACATCCACAATCCCCCTACCTTTGTAGCACCAAACCAACCAACCCCCAAATACCAGGTTTGACCAAACTCCTACATCCACAATCCCCCTACCTTTGTAGCACCAAACCAACCAACCAACCCCCACATACCAGGTCTCACCAAACTCCTACATCCCCAATCCCCCTACCTTTGTAGCACCAAACCAACCAACCAACCCCAACATTCCAGGTTTGACCAAACTCCTACATCCCCTATCCCCCTACCTTTGTAGCACCAAACCAACCAACCGACCCCCACATACCAGATTTCACCAAACTCCCAGCCAACACCCACATCCCCCACCAAACTCCCAGATCCCCAATCCCCCTACCTTTGTAGCACCAAACCAACCAACCAATCCCACATACCACATTTCACCAAACACCTACATCTATAATCCCCCTACCTTTGTAGCACCAAACCAACCAACCAGCCCCCACATACCAGATTTCACCAAACTCCCAGATCCCCAATCCCCCTACCTTTGTAGCACCAAACCAACCAACCAGCCCCCACATACCAGATTTCACCAAACTCCCAGCCAACACCCACATTCCCCACCAAACTCCCAGATCCCCAATCCCCCTACCTCTGTAGCACCAAACCAACCAACCAACCCCCACATACCACATTTCACCAAACACCTACATCTATAATCCCCCTACCTTTGTAGCACCAAACCAGCCAACACCCACATCCCCCACCAAACTCCCAGATCCCCAATCCCCCTACCTTTGTAGCACAAATCACACCAAACCAAACATGCTTAATCACAGCATTCATGACAATAATTCCATGTCCCTTAATCTTGGGTGCACCAAACCAAATCAAAGATAGCCTTTTGTAATAAATTCTTAGAAGTTTGGTATTAACTTCTTTATGTATTTTTGTGGATGTAACACACGTACACTGGTTCATCAAGTGTTGTGCTTTGCAGGTGGTTGTCACCATGCATGGTGGCCCAGACTATGAGTTTGTGGTGGTGACCGACATGGGCATTGTCGACCGCTACAAACCAATCCCAAAAGAACCCACCACCCACGAGGGAGACGATCAGACCATTGTCATTGTAAGTATTCCGCTTGTCTAAATGATGTTGGGGATTGTGGAGATTGTTTATTGTTGGACTCAAAACATAAAAGCATATTCAAATTGTGGAATCAGCTACCTTAAACAAAAACATGGAAATGTCAATTCTATATGAAATATTGATGTAGAATCATGTTTAAGAACATTATAAGAATACGTAACTGTATGAATATAAAGATTGCTATAGTTACTTTTTAGAGTAGCATTGCAATGTGGTATAATTGTCGAGAGATTAGAAGTGCATACGGCCAAACAATGACATGCCAAATTTGATACTTTCTAAGGTTAATTACACTTAATCTAAGTGGGCGGCGGTGGGGTAGCCTAGTGGTTACGGCGTTGGCTCGTGACGCCGAAGACCCGGGTTCGATTCCCCACATGGGTACAATGTGTTAAGCCCATTTCCGGTGTCCCCCGCCGTGATATTGCTGGAATATTGCTAAAAGCGGCGCAAACCCAAACTCACTCACTCACTCACTCGCTTAATCTAAGTCATAAAACAAACAGAAAAACTACAGTGTTGGTGACCTAAATTAACAATCCTCGCTCAAGGCTAATTGACACGTTGTTCTATTGATGTGTCTGCCCCTCTACACTGAGGACAGTTTACGTTTGGGTTAAGTATCTTTTCTAAAAACATTTAATTACATTTTCAGTTAGTGTAAATCATACATGGCAATATGAACATCGCATTTCTACTACCAATATAAGTTTAGATCAGTACATCCAGATGAAGCTGACTAGTCACGCGCCAGTTCAATTTAGTAATGTAAACATTGCAAAGGTTGCCGTGTCACTGTTAAATTGTGAGTCGAACTGAGACATTTTATCCTTCAATAAACGTAAATGAAATCTTTCCACCAGTGATGTTGGCCGAGTGAAGCAACTGCAAACCAAGAAACGAGGTGCAACGGAGTAGTTTACTGTAGGAGACTGTATGAAGCGATGAAACCTGCATCTGGACGTCGGTTACCAAGGGTACATTTCATAACGAGGGGGCAGACAAGAATAGCGTAGTGACGTCAATGCAGTGTGGCATCGTTCACAAAGTGTATTCTATCGCCATATAAAGAACTGTCGTTGCCTTTGATCTTTTAGCAACGCATCTTAGAATTGTATGTACATAAGTGTTGCTACAGTCACGCTGTAGAGCAGCATTACAATAAGGTCATATTGTATAAGTGAGCAGAAGTGCATTAGGCCAAAAATTGTGTTCACGGTATGTAATTGTGTGTTATAACTTAAGGATTGCTATAGTTCCATAATTTGTATCATGGATAACAATGGAGTCTTTGATTACATGACTTGAATTCCTGCAGTTGGAGCCTGGGGAGTCGAAGGACATCTACATGCCCATTGTGCCAACGATAATCCAGGGAGAGTTCACTTTCCGTGTAAGCGCCTCGTGTTTCATGGAGCGGGACGAGGTGTACAGGAAGGTTAATGTACAGGTATGTGGTGCTATCTTATAGATAAGTGAGTAACTATGTCAGCAGTTTTGTTTTCCCCCCGCTTTAAGCAATTTTCAAGCAAAATCACGGTTGGGACACCAGAAATGCTGACTGAAGACAAACAAGGAGTCTTGTCTGTACAGGTTCTCAGCTCTCACTGTTGTGGGTATATTGAAATGTTTAGGATGCTGATTACTTCATCATTGCATGGTCAACTTGTGGTATTCAGCTGTGGACTGCTTGCGCTAGAGATGAACAGTAAGAACATATCCTGTTTATGATTAATAGTAACCTTTGAAAGGCATGTAGCCTCTTATGACAGGCATGGGTTGCTGAAGACCAATTCTAACCCAGATCCTCATGGGTTTAGCATGCGAGAACAACAAAACTGATAAGATAACAAGACGATAATTTAACAAGAGAAGATTGGTGCACCAATTTCCAAATGAAAGCCAGTAGTAAATTTCATAATAAATGTTAAATTTTCAGCCTGATGGTGTGAGGAACTATTATCACACTCCATACCTGATTGATCTCATCACCTATGGCTCCATTATCATCCCTGACCTTGATGTTCCGGTGCCAGAACAGCGTGTTGTGCCAGAGCAGCGAGAACACTTGCATGTGCCTGAATCAGCAGTAGCACATCTCAGTATTTTTGGTAAGCGCCAACACAAGGCGACCCAAGGGTAAAACTAGGGCTGCAACGATTCAACCAGACCTCGATTCCATTCAATATTGGGCCCTCAGTTCGATCATTTTCAATTTGATTCTTCATACAAATAAAACATAATATTTCATTTAACTCTCAGAGTCGGCTTTTTTAGCGTGAAATCCATCGTCAACTGGCGATGTCTACAAACAACAGTTCTCACTGGATAATTAGCCTGGCATCAACCAGTGCTCGAAAAATTATGTTTTGGCTGTGTGGAAATAATGTAAATAGGTATTCAAATATTGAATTGAAATAGTGATAATGGTTATCGAAAATCAAAACTAAGGTCAAATCGAACCTAATCGTTGTGAATCCTTGCAGCCCGAGTTAAAACAGGTCTTTACCTGATATCCATGGTACTAGAAATACAGAACTTTGGATCTAGGCTCAGAAACTGTGTCTTCATGAATCAAAACTTGGTGTACAGATATTTTATTCCAAATCTGTCAGTAGTTGAAGTAATATTTTGAAAAGAAACTACAGGCAGGTGAGAAATTGGAAATGTGTGGAAGCGTTTGTATTTTAAGAATTCCATATGAACCTACCACATGTAATGTGATTAATGAAATTAGTTAAGAGACATTTTTATTCAACTTTTGTACTTTTATTGGTTGGATGACCAGAATTTTTATAAGATAAAAAAAAGTGTGTTTGATCAGATGTTGAGAGACATTTGTTTTTCAGGGACATATACTGAAGTGTGTACATATGTTTTCCATCTCATAGGTGATGTGGTAACTCCTGGGTTCTTTGAGGACTATCTGAATGCTGAGAACGTCTTGTGGCGTCCGTACGGGACCGGAGAGAACATTGCCTTCATACTTGCCTACAATCTACTGACGTTGAGGTTCATGAAGGCCAGTCAGCAGCTGAGTGAAGAGGCTCTCCAGAAAGCTCTCTACTACATGAACATAGGTAGGCAGGACTGAATCTTATAAGTATTAGTCTTGGGTAAGAAAAGGCTGTCGGTCCTGTATTGCTTCTACGTCAGTGAGGGGCTATGAGAGATAGATAGCCTAGTAGTTAAAGTGCTTGTTTGTCATGCCAAAGACTCAGGCTAGATTCCTCACAAATGTAAGATGTGTGAAGCACTTTGCACTTCAAGGCATTTCTGGAATATTGCAAAAGCAGGGTAAAACATCAGTTCCAGACTCACTCTCTGTGTGACACCAAAGTACAACCCTGGCTGAAATTATTCTTGCTAGTTTGGGGTCCTTGTAGCTGGCAGGTTTGGACATTGCTCATAATAGATTGACTATAAACAGGAGCTGGAATGTACCTTAAAACAATAAACACCCAAATATCTTACAGTATTTGACGTAACAGTCTCCCTGGAGATGGTGTCATTGTTGATCAGATCATCAAAAACATGTGACCTAACTGACTGTGATTGTACCTTCGTAGTTGGTCCATGCTCATGCTGTCCACCACTGGTTTTACAGTAACAGTCTCCATGGAGATGCTGTCATTGTGAATCAGATCGTCAGAAACATGACCTAACTGACTGTCCTTGTACCTTTGTAGTGGGTACATGCTGTCCACCACTGGTTTGGCCGGTCAAGATTTGACCACCCATTTGGCTGTCATTATATTGCTGGAATATTGTTGACAGCATCAATCGCCAGTTAGCATCAGATTGTTTGTTTGATGGGGATGTTGAGAGACTTTGCGTGTCATTACAGTTCTACAGAGACAGATGGGGTACATGAATGACGATGGGTCATTCCGCATGTTCCGAGATGATCCAACTCCCAGTCTGTGGTGAGTATAGAGACAGACAATAGAATTGTTGTGAAAGTATTAAGTGTTGAAATACACATCGTGCTGGAACTAATATCAGTCACACACCCAGTCTGTGGTGAGTATAGAGACAGACAATAGACTTGTTGTGAATGTATTAAGTGTTGAAATACACATCGTGCTGGAACTAATATCAGTCACTCAGTACAATAACATTGTACCTATTGAACCAGTTGGAAAATCTGTGGAGCAAGGAGTTCAATGACCTTTGCATATTCCAAGCTGTTACAGATAGTGCGGTGGCTTAGGTACACCCAATCACCCTAGTAAGCAAACCTGACCACCTGTTCACACAGGTTTGGTTACTAGGGTGATTGGGTGTACCTAAGCCACCGCACTATCGGTAATAGCTTTGAATATGCAAAGGTCATTGAACTCCATTGGTCACCATGGTTACAGATTATAAACAGCAAGCGTCATAGTTACTTTGAGTGAGTGAGTTTAGTTCAGCAATATTTCAGCTATATGGTGGTGGTCTGTAAATAATCAAGACTGGACCAGACAATCCAGTGATCAACAGCATGAACATCAATCTACGCAGTTGGTATACGATGACATGTGTCAACCAAGCCAGCAAGCCTGACCACCAGATTCTGTTAGTCGCCTGTTACGACAAGCATGGGTTACTGAAGATCAATTCTAATCCAGGTATTCACAGTTACATGGGGGGTGTAATTGATTTTGTACATGACATGCAAGGCAAGGGGGGTCACTTACTTTGTGCATAATTTTTTTTGGGGGGGGCGTCATTCACATTGTACATGCCTCTCCATAAAAATCATCTAGCTATAAATTGTGAACGGTCCCTTATAGGAGTGACTTGGGATTCTTGGTCGACAACCAAGTGAACTGGCGGTCAGCCTTGGTAATTTGTTTGATTGGTTGTGTATTGATTTAGCAATAAATTAATAACTTTGATTATTGCCAACAGTTTGTACGAAGCATCCACAATGGAAATCGGGTGGTCACCATGGCTACAGATTATAAACAGCAAGCGTCATGGTTACTGTGGATTGTTGGTCTAAGTCATAAGCATCTGTTTGTCTGGTCCAAACTGACACATACTACTGTCCATGTTTAGGTTAACAGCCTTTGTGGCCAAGAGTTTGCATCAAGGGAGGTTTGGAGAGTGGGAACGTGACCTCTTCATCCCACTAGAGCTCATCAATAAGATGGTGGTGTGGATCTGTCGGCAACAAAATGAGACTGGCGCCTTCCATCCAGATCACTCAGTGGCATATGACAGGAAAATGGTGAGACTGTTTCTTAAAAAGTTTCTTTTAGTTCTTCATATTCAGGAATAAAAAGACTAGCTCATGTAATTTGTATGAAACGAATGAATATATTTGTGATTAATGCCGAAATATCGGAATTGTAGAACTACACCCCCAAATCATCCATATCCCCCCACCCTAGTTATTCATCACCTATCAGCCCACTCATCCACTGACTCTACCATCAGACCCCACTTTGATCCCCCCGATCCCCCATTAATCCATTCATTCAGCAATGTCCACTGATAAATGCGTGATCTCATTCACCTGCCCATCCTCCTGTCCACCCACTTATCCACCACTTTTTCTCCAAGCATCGATTCATCCACCCATTCACTCACTCATCTACACACCCACCTTCCTGTCCAGCTACTTACCCAGCCACTTATCCACCTTACATCCAGCCACCCCTCCACTCAGTCTTCCATGATATTATTCATCCAACCACTCACATACCCATCCACTCATCCACTCACCCACTATTTCATCCACCATCCACTATTCACATATCCATCCGCATCTACCCATATCTCATTCACACACCTACCCTCCCATCCACCCACTCATCCATTCACCTGTAAACTCAGTCATCAAGCTACCAACTCACTCACTCACTGATGTTGTTCATGCAGGCTTCTGGAGACAACATCCTCAGCCAGAGACTATATGACGACCCGATATCGTTAACAGCATATGTTCTCATTGCTCTGTACGAAACTACAGATGTTTCAGAGGTAAGTCAAAGAGACAAACATTAACAGTATTAAAATTTTCAGAAAATCATTGCAAAACTTGTTTATTGATTTACTCCAATGTTTAAATCTTTCTTCCTTATCCATTCAAGGATGTGGAAATTTGTGGGTTTGAATCCCATATTTACTCTGGTTATTGGCCTTGCTTTGACATCTTTATGCTTGTGCTTTCTGATATGTAGAACCATAAATGTCTGATGTATAGTGATGTAACACCCTGTTCAGATCAGAGTCAGATCACACTCACTCACTCACTCTTCCTCAGACAGAATGTTCCTCTCTTTCAGGATGCTCTGGCATGCCTGGACTCGTCAAGAGCCAGAGCAGCTAACTACCTGGCCAATAAAGTGAATTCCATACCATCCACAGCGACATTCCAGTTATCCATCACAGCTTACGCTCTCTCCCTCAGTCAGGAGAAGAATCGCACAGCCTTCAATAAACTCTGGGATACCAGGAGAACAAGTGAGTTGTTAACAAACCTGCTAAGAAAAATGCTAATATTTTATGACCTCTGTTACCTTGTTGCGAGTTACATTGACTACACATAATTTACAATGGTTGTGGTAAGATGCCAACCCGTAACTTCTAGGCATCCTTCACACCACTTCAACAAGTTAACTAACATCGTTAGATTCTGGTCCCTTGCTAATACAGTCAGATGATACAAAATGTATGGAAGTTTATAAGCCTTTGAAAGTGCAATATTCATTGTAGAGAAATGACTAAATATTTCCCTTTGTAAAATAATCCCCAGTATAATGTTTCAATAAATTTTTCAGGTACGGATACTTACTTTTCGGATGCCGAAGTGCCTTCCAACCCATCAGAAATTGTAAACACTGTTCGTTTTCTGAAGCCTCGTCAGGAACTGCGCAATGATGCTTACGCTACTCAAGCAACAGCATATGCTCTGATGGCACACATTAACAACAATGGGGTCAAGTTTGAACGTGATTCCATGATGCGCTGGCTACAGACAATGAGGAACAGCATTGGAGGCTTTACTTCCACACAGGTACTGTGCAGAGTTGTGTCCCTTTGGTCCCTATTGTGGATTGAGTTGAATTGAGTTCGACTTTACGTCACATCGGCATTATTCCAGTCATATAGTGACGAGATCAAGTCTGCATTCATAAACGTTTTAAGTACAAAGACCAAATGAGTTTTATTTTTGAAACATATATATTCATTACATTATCATTTAAAAACAGAAAATGTCATAGCACTAAATTCAAAAGCAAGCAATTCGTTAGTCACATTACATAGTTACAATTTATGATACAGGTCAACTTCCCTCAGGTAGTTCACATTGTGATGCCTGCTCACGCAGGAAAACAGATCTTTCAAATTAGTTTCATCATTATGTGGATCCCTTGCAGTCGAAAAGTCGGTCCCTATAGTGAATTCCAGACCTACAAATGCATGTTGACATATACATTCCACTCTGATTACAGGATATGTTTCATAATGTTTCTAAGTGCACGCCATGCAAGTGTGGTAAAGGTCTAAAATCTGTGTTACTTTGGGCTTTCCTGACATAACAAATGAGAGTCCAAGTGCAAGCCATGCAAGTGTGGTAAAGGTCTAAAATCTGTGTTACTTTGGGCTTTCCTGAAATAACAAATGAGAGTCCAAGTGCAAGCCATGCAAGTGTGGTAAAGGTCTAAAATCTGTGTTACTTTGGGCTTTCCTGACATAACAAAATGAGAGTCCAAGTGCAAGCCATGCAAGTGTGGTAAAGGTCTAAAATCTGTGTTACTTTGGGCTTTCCTGACATAACAAATGAGAGTCCAAGTGCAAGCAATGCAAGTGTGGTAAAGGTCTAAAATCTGTGTTACTTTGGGCTTTCCTGACATAACAAATGAGAGTCCAAGTGCAAGCCATGCAAGTGTGGTAAAGGTCTAAAAAGTCTGTGTTACTTTGGGCTTTCCTGACATAACAAATGAGAGTCCAAGTGCAAGCCATGCAAGTGTGGTAAAGGTCTAAAATCTGTGTTACTTTGGGCTTTCCTGACATAACAAATGAGAGTCCAAGTGCAAGCCATGCAAGTGTGGTAAAGGTCTAAAATCTGTGTTACTTTGGGCTTTCCTGAAATAACAAATGAGAGTCCAAGTGCACGCCATGCAAGTGTGGTAAAGGTCTAAAGTCTGTGTTACTTTGGGCTTTCCTGAAATAACAAATGAGAGTCTAAGTGCAAGCCATGCAAGTGTGGTAAAGGTCTAAAATCTGTGTTACTTTGGGCTTTCCTGAAATAACAAATGAGAGTCCAAGTGCACGCCATGCAAGTGTGGTAAAGGTCTAAAGTCTGTGTTACTTTGGGCTTTCCTGATATAACAAATGAGAGTCCAAGTGCAAGCCATGCAAGTGTGGTAAAGGTCTAAAAGTCTGTGTTACTTTGGGCTTTCCTGATATAACAAATGAGAGTCTAAGTGCAAGCCATGCAAGTGTGGTAAAGGTCTAAAAGTCTGTGTTACTTTGGGCTTTCCTGATATAACAAATGAGAGTCCAAGTGCAAGCCATGCAAGTGTGGTAAAGGTCTAAAGTCTGTGTTACTTTGGGCTTTCCTGACATAACAAATGAGAGTCCAAGTGCAAGCCATGCAAGTGTGGTAAAGGTCTAAAGTCTGTGTTACTTTGGGCTTTCCTGACATAACAAATGAGAGTCCAAGTGCAAGCCATGCAAGTGTGGTAAAGGTCTAAAGTCTGTGTTACTTTGGGCTTTCCTGACATAACAAATGAGAGTCCAAGTGCAAGCCATGCAAGTGTGGTAAAGGTCTAAAGTCTGTGTTACTTTGGGCTTTCCTGACATAACAAATGAGAGTCCAAGTGCAAGCAATGCAAGTGTGGTAAAGGTCTAAAATCTGTGTTACTTTGGGCTTTCCTGACATAACAAATGAGAGTCCAAGTGCAAGCAATGCAAGTGTGGTAAAGGTCTAAAATCTGTGTTACTTTGGGCTTTCCTGACATAACAAATGAGAGTCCAAGTGCAAGCAATGCAAGTGTGGTTAAGGTCTAAAATCTGTGTTACTATTGGGCTTTCCTGATATAACAAATGAGAGTCCAAGTGCAAGCAATGCAAGTGTGGTAAAGGTCTAAAATCTGTGTTACTTTGGGCTTTCCTGACATAACAAATGAGAGTCCAAGTGCACGCCATGCAAGTGTGGTAAAGGTCTAAAATCTGTGTTACTTTGGGCTTTCCTGACATAACAAATGAGAGTCCAAGTGCAAGCCATGCAAGTGTGGTAAAGGTCTAAAATCTGTGTTACTTTGGGCTTTCCTGACATAACAAATGAGAGTCCAAGTGCAAGCCATGCAAGTGTGGTAAAGGTCTAAAGTCTGTGTTACTTTGGGCTTTCCTGACATAACAAATGAGAGTCCAAGTGCACGCCATGCAAGTGTGGTAAAGGTCTAAAATCTGTGTTACTTTGGGCTTTCCTGACATAACAAATGAGAGGTATGATGCCATAGATTTTGTAGAAGCTTTAGGAATGGGTTGCTTCTTTTATCCAAAAGATGACGTATGACTCCATTTGAAAAAACTTCCACAAATGTTCTGCTGTGTAAAATAACCATATTTCCTACTTTTTGCAGGATACTCTTGTTGCCATGGAAGCACTGTTCCAGTTCACTCAAGTTGACCCCAACAGAAATGACTTTAACATTATGGTGAAACTGGAATCTACTGCCTCCCCTAACTGGGCGTTCACCCAATTCTTCACCAAGGCCAACAACACAAAGTTGCAGAATGCCTATGTGAGTATTTAGACATTGCAAAGTCTGCTTGGCCAGCAGGTCTTAGACAGAGTTCTGTCCCTTTTGTCGAGGTCAGCACTTAAAGGGCCACTGATCAAGAGCGATTAATGATTTTTGCCAACAGTCTAATTACGAAACCAAGTTGCAGGCTGGTCAGTACCTGCTCACTCAACCATGACGGGCATGGGGACTGGGCTACTGTCCACCTTGGCAGAATTTCTTCTGTGGGACATTAGGAAGGGTGGATGCCCGTTATTTGAAAATATCCCCGGTAGTTCTTGTCTGACTGTAATAAAGAATCCCAGCAGTGTAAACATTTTCAGATTTCCTAATGCCTGGATGGTATAATGACTGATCCAATTTGATCCTAATTCTGTGTTTTTTACCTCGATATTCAATCATGTCATGTAAAAATATGATGTTTATTACCTATGCTATGATATTAACAACACACATTTTATGTATTTGAATCTGTAAACTAAACAACCCCACCTTGACATTTCGAGAAAAATCTAAAAATTTACTTAGGTAAATAGGTATATACAGTAAATGCGTGTATGTATTTCTTACTCAACAATACAGTTCCGTTCGTAACCTCAAAACTGTGTCGGCCTATAAGTTTTTATCAGGCAATCAAAATTGCATGCAATACAGCGATTACTACTCCCTTTCCGTAACTATTATTTGGTGGTAAACCTACACATTATTTGTCATCATTCACTTGATGGTGAATTTATAACAGGTATAATTAGTGGTAACACCACTCAGATTACCCGACAAAGGTTCCCATTTGGCATTTCTCGTGTCTGGAGTAAATACTCATCATTATAAATTAAGGTCTGATGTGGTAAATGTTTTACATCTTGTGTAATATGCGCATGGAAGTGCAGCAAGAGGGATTATCAGCTGAGTTACAAAATCAAACATCGATCAAAGGATTAACCGATAACGCGCTGATTGATTAATTGCTTTTATCTTGCACAGTGGATTTGTCAAAAGGTAGTGTTTATGTTGCCTATGTAGATTGACTAATCTATACAGAATACACCCTGTCGCAAAGTGCCTGTGTAAAACAGCGTCCTCCCTTCAAAGGATTAACCGCCAATACATTGATTGATTGCTCATTATTGGCTATCTAAATTACTTTGTTAAAGAATGGCGGACATTATGCAATTAGTTGCCAGGTGTGCTATCTTGGGTGACCAATCGGACTACACAACAATGTGAAAAACCTGAAACGATATATCACTTTTTCACATATTAGACTGTTACAAGACACATGATATGGAGCAGGATTCTTTGTTAGCTGAAGGTGAACGGCATGTCGTTCCTTTATGTGGATATTGATGGATACATTCCTCGAACAAGGTAGGATAGCCTGACATTGTTGCCATAACTTTAGTCTGTTTTAATTTTAATATTTGCATTTTGTTTTTAGTCATTTGTTGTAGCATAGTAGAATAATTTTTTTCGCCGTGAAATGTAATGAGACAGATAACATACACTAGGTCGCACTTGGGGCGTGTGTGTGAAATAATACAAAATGACGTTCGCAATCTATAAAATGTCTAGATATTACAGTCATGTTATAAATTCACAATAAGTATAAGCAGATCGTGTGCATTTTATTAGGTTTCAAAATGCATACAAATATGATAATAAACTAATTAGGATTATAAGACAAAATATAAAGACGTACATTGACCTCGTTAGTTTTCAGTCCTAACATTTTTCACATCATTATCAAATTAAGGAAAATGGAAATAATATCGAGTAAAAAAGATTTCCTCTTTGTTGATCAATCTATACATATACTACCAATTGTGCATGCGTGTAGCGCATACGAACCAGTCAAGAATTATGGGATATCATCCAGGTACTCACAGGAGAAAAACAATAACAAAAGCAACAACCAGTCCACGGAAATTGCTCACATGCCACATGCCTTGATTATGCTCCTTCGTGAGAACCTTACAGTACAGTTCACTTCAGTTCACTGAAGGGTAGAGGTCCAACAAACAGACATCAATATCTTGATACTTATATGGTTGTTATTTAAACAGCTAGACATATTGGATGCATATAATTTGTTGTTATATCAGTTAGACGTCTTTGATACTGATATGGATGTTTGAAGAAAGATTATTTAAGCAACATGACAAAAGCACGATTTATGGATGTCAACTTCTTTATTGTGAATAACACAACGTTTGATTCCACTTCTAAATGCCCTTCAAAGATTTGATCTGACATCAACATGGAGATGAATCAGTAATATCCATCAACATGTTATTCACAATAAAGAAAGACCGCCTCCGTGGTGTAGTGGTTAGAGCGTCCACCCGGAGAGCGGAAGGTCGCGGGTTCGATCCCCGACCGCGTCATACCAAAAGACGTTAAAATATGGTACTTGTTGGTCCCTGCCTGTCGCTCGGCATTAATGGGAACAACAAGGACTGGTCGGCTCGGAGTCAGTATAATGTGTCTGAGTATTCATGCTTCACTGCGGCATGGTATCACAGTGGGCTAGCACTATAAAACCAGCTTAAGTCTGGGCTAGTACAAGCAGCCGCACATACACATACACACGCATGCACGTCGTCATATGAGTGAAATATTCTCAAGCACGACGTTAAATCCAATTTCACCTCACCTCACAATAAAGAAGTTGACATCCATAATCTTGCCTTTCTTATGCATTCCACTTCTAAACGCCCTTCAAAGATTTGATCTACAACATGGATTTCACTTTCTTTTTTTATGACCGTCATTCAAAGGACTTGTTACCGACCATACGGCCACATGGTTAATCCTGTTTGACTCTCGCAGGCCCCCTGGTAAGGGAAGTAACTCCTAGGCATGTGCATAACTACCACTAACAGCGATTACTTACGAGAATATATATTTTATCTCAGCAACTAGCTGTATTTCTCACATTTGCACAGTTGTGCTTTGTTTAAAGGACACTGAAGGGATATGGAGGTAAACACAAAAGGTGTCAGTTTCAGGAAATAGGATCTTTATATATAAGTGAAATAAACAACTGTTGAGTGTGTCTCTGTGGTACTATTTATTGGAGACCGCCTCTGTGGTGTAGTGGTTAGAGCATCCACATGGAGAGCGGAAGGTAGCAGCATGGTATCTCAGTGTGCTAGCACTATAAAACCTGCTTAAGTCTGGGCTAGTACAAGCAGCTGCACATACACATACACATGCATGCACGTCGTCATATGAGCGAAATATTCTCAAGCACGACGTTAAACCCAATTCCACCTCACCTCACTATTTATTTGATGCAGTTATGAAGCCTTTGTTTTCTGTATCTTCAACCAAAATACTTAAATAGAATTTACCTGTCCATTTATCATTGAATGCCCTTTCTTTGTTATTGTTCTAGTAGCCAGTACCTGAACTATTTCTTTGCTTTCTGATTATTCTACCCGTGAAGATCCAAGAAAGATTTGATTTTCAGTAACCCATCCTTGTAAGAGGCGACTTATGGGATCAGGTGGTCAGGCATGCTGACTAGGTTGACTCATCGTAGCCCAGTTGTGTAGATCGATGCTCATGCTGTTGATCACTGGATTGTCTGGTCCAGTCTTGATTATTTACAGACCACCACCATATAGCTGAAATATTGCTGTGTGTGGTGTAAAACTAAACTCACTCACTCAAAGTAACCATGACGCTTGCTGTTTATAATCTGTAACCATGGTGACCAATGGAGTTCAATGACCTTTGCATATTCAAAGCTATTACCGATAGTGCGATGGTTTAAGTATATGGGATCAGGTGGTCAGGCATGCTGACAAGGTTGACACATGTCATCGTAGCCCAGTTGTGTAGATCGATGCTCATGCTGTTGAACACTTGATTGTTGATTACTTACAGACCACCGACATATAGCTGGAATATTGCAGAGTGTGTCATAACTCACTCACTCACTGTTTATTCTGGGTTCATTGTGTGACCTTCCACTGTATGTAAAAGTATTGGCAATGTATTCATGTGATACCATTCCAGTTATTGTCACAGCAAGAGGTCAAGTCTGTGTTAATGATAAATGTTGCTTCAGTTACTTTGAATGTTACTCCTCCAGCTACCTTTGGTATATGGCGCCATCAAGACCCTGGCCAAAGGAACAGGTCGAGCCCTCTTGCAGGTTTGTGACAGATATACAGGTTCCAGGGCATCACAGGGGCAGTGAGTAGTCTAGTTTTTGCTTGTCGTAATGATGAACCAGGGCCCTGTTCCTCTTAGCGATCATAGCACTACGACAGTCGTAAGTCTATGTAAAAGTATGGGAGTTACGATCATCTTAGCGCTACGACCGTTTTGAGGAACGGAGCCCTGGTTCCCAACCTGGTTTCTGGTGCAGAGCTGTCAACCCAATGAGTGAGAAGCTGGGATCCAGAAGGCGCAGTCCACAGTCAGTCCCAGGGCAACGCCCTGTAGGGGCCAGAAAAATGTTTTTTAGGTTATTTAAAGATGATTTTTATGTCATTTGGTGCTAGTTTATAAAAGTTTTCAATAATGCGTGAGTTTACAGAGGTCATGCGTGAGTGCTTGATATTGAGGTATTGTGTCAGCGTTAAGTCTTTGTAAGACTCTTATGTATCACTATGTGCTATTATCCACCATTCAGTTGGAACACAATGAGTTTACAAACATGCTTTTGGATTCAATGCTGCCTAAGATCCAGTAACATACAAACACTGATCTATATACTGGGCGGTGTGGAAGCCAAGTGCTTAAAGTATTAGCTTGTCACGCCGAAGACCCAGGTTAAATTCCCTCACATGAGTACAATGTGTGAAGCCCATTTCTGGGGCTGTGATATTGCTGAAATATTGCTAAAAGAAGAGTAAAACTAAATTCACTCTCTCACTCTCTCCTATCTACTGCAGCTAACAACCACTGTGTATGTTGAACAAGCATGGCTGCTGAAACCAACACAGGATGAACAGAAATTCTTTGACCTGATGATTGACTACTACACTTTTACAGGAAGAAACGGCTCTATCTTTGAGATGTCTCCTTGTGTTAGGTGAGTCAACTGGTGTTCCTCTGATGATGAATTTGGCTTTACTCTATTACTTGGGCAGTATTCTGGGTCTAACAGTATTCCTTGGGCAGTATTCTGGGTCTAACTGTATTCCTTGGGCAGTATTCTGGAACTAACAGTATTCCTTGGGCAGTATTCTGGGTCTAACAGTATTCCTTGGGCAGTATTCTGGGTCTAACTGTATTCCTTGGGCAGTATTCTGGGTCTAACTGTATTCCTTGGGCAATCTTCTGGGTCTAACAGTATTTCTTGGGCAGTATTCTGGGTCTAACAGTATTCCTTGGTCAGTATTCTGGGTCTAACAGTATTCCTTGGGCAGTATTCTGGGTCTAACAGTATTCCTTGGGCAGTATTCTGGGTCTAACAGTATTCCTTGGGCAGTATTCTGGGTCTAACTGTATTCCTTGGGCAGTATTCTGGGTCTAACTGTATTCCTTGGGCAGTATTCTGGGTCTACCTGTATTCCTGTATTATTCCTTGGGCAGTATTCTGGGTCTAACTGTATTCCTTAGGTCTAAGTATTGGGCAGTATTCGGGTCCTGGGCAGTATTCTGGGTTCTGTATTCCTTTGGCAGTATTCTGGGTCTATTCCTTGTATGGGTCCTGTATTCCTTGGGGAGTATTTTCTGGGTCTACCTGTATTCCTTAGGGAGTATTTTCTGGGTGTTTCTTTTCTTGTGAGAGTGGTCTGTATTTTCTCAGAATAAACTTGGTATAATAGTGGTCCCCTTTGGGTCTGTGAGCCAAGAGTGAGCTTGGTGTAACTATTCCCTTGGAAGTATTCTGGGTCTGACTGTCAGTGTGTTCCTCCGAATGTTTTCTGGGTCTGACTGTCAGCGTGTTCCTCCGAGTGTATTCTGGGTCTGACTGTCAGTTCCTCGAATGTATTCTGGGTCTGACTGTCAGTGTGTGTTCCTCGAATGTATTCTGGGTCTGACTGTCAGTGTGTTCCTCCGAATGTATTCTGGGTCTGACTGTCAGTGTGTTCCTCCGAATGTATTCTGAGTCTGACTGTCAGTGTGTTCCTCCGAATGTATTCTGGGTCTGACTGTCAGTGTGTTCCTCCGAATGTATTCTGGGTCTGACTGTCAGTGTGTGTCCCTCCTCGAATGTATTCTGGGTCTGACTGTCAGCGTGTTCCTGAATGTATTCCTCTGTCAGTGTGTTATTCTGTATTCTGGGTCTGACTGTCAGTGTGTTCCTCGAATGTATGTGTATTCTGGGTCTGACTGTCAGTGTTCTGACTGTCAGTGTGTTCCTCGAATGTATTCTGGGTCTGACTGTCAGTGTGTTCCTCTGAATGTATTCTGGGTCTGACTGTCAGTGTGTTCCTCCGAATGTATTCTGGGTCTGACTGTCAGTGTGTTCCTCCGAATGTATTCTGGGTCTGACTGTCAGCGTGTTCCTCCGAATGTATTCTGGGTCTGACTGTCAGTGTTCTGACTGTCAGTGTGTTCCTCTGAATGTATTCTGGGTCTGACTGTCAGTGTGTTCCTCTGAATGTATTCAGTGTTCTGTTCAGTGTGTTCCTCAATGTATTCTGGGTCTGACTGTCTCAGTGTTCCACCGAATGTATTCCGAGTCTATCATCCTCTGAGGGTGAGCACAGACAAACTGAGTGTTCCTTGGGTCCATCCTTGATCTATCACCACTGTACATGGTAGATTGCCATGGATACTGAACGATGACAAGTTGTGATTTATGTCTTACAGCTGGGCATACACTGAGAAGAGCCTGACCAGTGGCCTCGCTGTCCTGGAAATCGACATCCCTACTGGCTACATGGTCATGAACAACACACTGCATGAATATGTTCAATCTGGCATTGTGCCCAATCTCTGGCAAGCAGAATTCTACGGCAGGAAAGTCGTATACTACTTTGAATATGTAAGTATTTAAACGATTGATGCAGAATATTTTGGTAATGTAATAAGACCTATTGTCACTCTTTATGTTTATTTCCTGATTATTTCTTGGGTCAGCTCCTGCCATGAGGATTAGACCCATTATACATGTCTTCACAATGTCTGCCAGTGTGTCACTTCTACCATGTTGCTAGACTAACAACTAGTCTCTGAAATGAACATATTTTACTGAAAAAAGTTCATAGTAAAAAAATATAAAATATAATGAAAAGGAGCCCTGAGACTTTCTTCATTTTCAGAAGCTGAGGAAATCTAGACTTGCCACATTTTCTAGACTTGTGTGGGTTTCTTGGATATATTTGCTTCAGGGTCTGTACGACAGACTACCATGTTGCCAAATGTCATGGCACTGTATGACATGGAATGATGGTGGAAAATATGTGTGTGGCCATGTTTCGTTTGCCCCAAAATAAAACCAACACAAACACATTGATACTGTGATCCATGATTCTTGAACTTTGCTTTCACCATGTTGTCTCTCTTGACCTTTGGTGGTGGTGTGTGGTCCTCTGCATAGAGCTCAGGTCACAAATCAGCTGAAGTTAAGCAACGTTGAGCACAGAGAGTCCTTGGATGGGTGACCATGTTAAATGGCAGCATGACTCCTGAGAGTTTCCAGGACATCAGTACTGCCCCACAACAAAGCACTTGTGATACATGTGGTCTCACCTTAGGCAAGTGAGTTTGTTCACAATTGCCTCTGTTCACCTAGCAGAAAATGGGTAACCCGGTGGGATAAGAGATGTGACTATTAACCTTCTAGCGCCTTCTAGGCAGCTTGGGATATTCAGATTGTTAGTACTATGAGCATTCACCTAGAATGGAGTTTAGCACATCATGAATGCATTTATCAGGTCTTCAGACGGAAGTCTGGAAGACCTACTGTTCTTATCCGAAAATTATGATGATAGCCTGTATGCTGAAATTGATACAGAGTCGAAAACATCCCCGACTTCCGGCTTCCGGTAAGGGCAGATAACCCAAAATGTCGAAATCTGTAAACCTCAATATCACCAAAACTAGAAGGGTTAAATTGACAAAACTTTCACTCGATGTAGACATCATCATCCTCTATTGTTTCAATGCATAAAATAAGTCAGGCAGCAGAAGACATTTTCCGCAATTTTGGGAAAACTGAATTTTTTGCCGATTTTCACGTTTTGACGATGCCCGTGTTTGAAAATCTTCTTCTCCAGAACAGCAAATAGTACAATCGTGTTCGATAGGCCGTTGAAAAGCCCACACTCCTGACTACAAAAAGTGCACAAGGAATTATTTGATATCTTGAATGGTTTGGGATTTATCGCCCTTGGAGAATGGTGGATTTTTCTAAGACGCATTTTCATAGGGTTAAAAAAAATGTCACAACTCTGCAAAAACACAATGGATTCCATTTTCCAAAGTACCAATCTGTAGATAATTGAATGGGAAACATTTTTACTTAACATTATTTTTATTTAAAAATCAATAATTACGTCACAATTACGAGACAAACACAAACATTGCGATTTTTCACATTTGCGCACGTTTGATGGTGCCTGTGTTTCATAATCTTCTCCTCCTGAAAGGCAAATAGTACAATCGTGTGATATATCGTTGAAAAGCCCGCACCTAGGACTATGTAGGTTGCTAAAGGCATGTCGATATCTTCAATAAATTTGGAATTATCGCCTTTGGAAGTTGGTCAATTTTGTCAAAATGCATTTTCATAGGGTTCATATAAATGTCAAAGCTCTGCAAAAAAACAGCGGATTTCAATGTTGAAGGTACCAAACTGTAGATACTTGAATGGGAGACATTTTTGCTTGACATTATTGTTATGTATAAGTCAAGAATTACGTCACAATTACGACACGAACATTAGGATGTTTCGCATTTTGCTCTTTGGGCATTGGAAAACCAGGAAGTGGTGATTTTTGCTAGTTTTTACTGATGCTTCTTTCAGCTATTTCGCTCATCAGCTAGCTGTTTGTTCCTGTTTGTTAAAATCTAGCAAAAAAATCCACTTCCAGGTTTTCCAATGCCAAAGTTGTTGTTGAGTTCAGTTTTACGTCACATCGGCGTAATTCCAGCCATAAAGTGACGAGATCAAGTTGGAGTTTTACAAATTTTAAATTCAAAGTCCAAAAAAGAGTTGTTTTTAACATATATATTCATGACATTACTATTTACAAGTGAAAAATTACACAGCACCAAACTCAAAAACAAGCAATCTGTGACTCACATTACATAGTTATAATTTATAGTACAGGTCAACTTCCTGCAGGTAGCTAACAATCAGATGCACGCTCACGAGGGAAAACAGATCTTTCAGATTTATAGCTTCATAATGTGAATCTCTTGCAGTCGAAAAGTCCACGCAGTCAAGCAGAATATGCTTGATGGTGAACATTTTGAACATCGCAAGAGACACACATGGGAGGTCCATCCCCATCCGTTTTCAGCAGATGGTCATGAGTAAATTGACTGTGGCCAATACGACATCGTCGTAAAATTACCTAACCACGTCTTGACTGACAACCTCAGTAGGTATAACCAATTGCTGGTTTTCCAATGTCAAAAGAGCAATGTGCTTTTGGTAAAAACTGGGACTCCAGCAGTTTGTCTACCAGTCTGACTGTGCCAGGATCGCGTGAACCCTTTCCGCTACATCATCATGATTGCAGGAATCCAGCACATAAACGCACAATATCTTATACATTTAAAACAGAATAAAACCTCACATGCAAAACTGCGGCCATGGCAGTCGTACTTTCAAATCATCTTAACTGTACCACAGAAATTTTTGAATTGGTGTTTCACAAATGCACTATATACACATAAGTCCATGGCTGTTTCACAAATGCAATATATGCACATAAGTATATGCGTCAAATAGCTAGGATCATGGCGATTCCAGAACACTAATCGTTTTGATCATAGACCCAAGGACAGCGGAGCTACGGCCTGTTAAAGAGATAATATTTCTTCTGTAGGAACTATTTAAAAGGTACATGACCCCTGCAACCCGGCTGCATTTCACCGATCTGCTCTCGTGTCAAAAACGTGTTCTGCCTGCGTTTTGGATGCTTTCTAGACCTTAAATACACTTCAAACACCCGTAACTCTGAGAGTTAAAATGGACGCTCCAGCTGGCGTCCAAAGAAACAGTACAAGTAATGGGGAAGTCTGAAGACCGTCAGTATTGCCCAGGAGGCAATCCTAGTTTATAGTGTTATTACCTTTGCCCTTTGTGTTGACCCTCCATTGCTGGTGTTGGACAAACTCACTTGGGATATGATATTTTATAAGTGTCAGAAATTACTCTATTTCAGCTTAACCGGAGCAGGACCTGTGTATATTTCCGGGCAGACCGTTGGTACCCAGTAGCTAATGCCTCCATCCCATACCACATCAGGGTGTTTGACTACTATGAACCTGGTAAGGAAAAGATTTTTGTATCTCACATAATCTACAGATTTCTAATTTTATTGTATTATTGTGTAGTCTGGTAAATGAATCATTCATGTGCCACGCTTGGCTTTACTTCAGTTAGTGCATGACTGTATGATAGAGTATCTCTCACCTGTGACCTGAAGTATTGGTTCATTTATTTAATGCAGGATCTAAACTTAATTCACTTACTTAGTAATAGTAGTAGTCAAACCCACCCACTAGGAATAATAAACTGGAGCTTGAGATGGCCAGGTGGGTCAAGGATTTGGTTCACTGTACAGAGTTACCTCCCTTAGTCACCCCAGAATCCTATGCTTGTCAGTGTGAACCTCTGAATAGCTGTTATTGTTTCCAGGGTTCTCAGCACCATTTTTGTAAGTGTGCAGTGAACAAATCTTAGAAAATTTGACTATTCCTCATATTTGTCACAAACATTTTCAAATGGGTTGCTGATGTGAATACTTTACTTTTGCATATTTTCAGGAATGCACAATTCATCGATCTATACGACCAACACCTTGTCCAGAATGAACATCTGCTTTGTGTGTGGTTCCTACCAATGTCCATTCTGTCCATTTTTCAATGCAGCTGTCGTCCTCAAAGCCAGCATCTCAATGACAGCTGTCATACTTGGATTCATCATCAAACAATATTTGATAACATGATAAAACAATTGAGCTTTCTGTCACATCCTTCACCTTTAGCCTGCTGAGTTAATTTCAGCATAAGGCGTTGTAAAGAGGGTGGGTGATTTCAAACAGTTGGTGTGGCATCAAATATGGGACAACTGAAAAAATATTTTGCACATTAATACTAGATAGAAAAATGAACATTGTTATCCAAAACTATCCTGATATTTTCAAACATACAGAGGTTAAGGCCAAAGCAAACATAAATAATGTAACCTTTCTTGAATTTACCGGAATTACTTGATTGACAGTGGAATGCGTTTGATATTAGGAACTTTTGTTGATATTAGGACCATCACTTGTTTCTACACTGAATATGTAGATAAGATAATTGTGAGGCATGTTATTCATTCCATACATAATTCAAATGACATGTAAATCGTATTTGGTAAATAGTGATTGCAAGTTATATTTGATGATGTTATTATGCTACTCTTGTGTCGAATGGGTTCGACGGCAGCATTGAGAGGATTAAGTATCAAGTTGTTATCAAAGAAATGCCCTGCTCAACACACAACTGTGTGTATCATTTCAACATGATTATCATGATGTAGATATAGAAACATCTCGTGTTTATATACCTAATATTAAAACGATGTCTGTTCATTGTATGATATTCACATGTACATTGCATAACATTGGTTGGTTGGTTTGATGTTTAACACCACACTCAGAAATATTCCAGCTATATGGTGTTGGTCTGTAAATAATCAAGTCTGGACCAGACAATTCAGTGATCAACTGCATCAGCATTGATCTACGCAATTGGGATACGATGACATGTGTCATCCAAGTCAGTGAGCCTGACTACCCGAACCCGATAGTCGCCTTTTATGACAAGCATGGGTTGCTGACAACCAATTCTAACCTGAATCTTTCATGAGTTCATTGCATAAGAATTGCACATCTAGCAGAAGATGCTGATAGGTTGAAATGAAGATTTATATACCATATGCATTGATCCAACCAGAGTTTTGTCTTAATGGCCTTGACATTTTGTATCATCTCTGGCTTTTTAACTGGTACGTTTGTGTGTGAAACTTTTAATAGTTTTGATTGATGAATGAAAAAGTCAATATGCTTGGTGATAATAACTTTTGTAAAATCTCTATAATTTGATAAATGTGTTTTTTGTTCTGCAAAAAAACCCATAAAACTTGATGCAAAATGAAATGTCTGAAAAACACCACTTTTTTTATTACTTTAGTTAATCTTTGATGCCATAACAGTTTAAGATAGTAATGTGAAAGAATGATGCTGTCGAGCGGAGCAATGCAATCTAACCTATTCATGTGATAATTACCTTCAAACTCAGTGTTTCTCTCCTACCAATACAGGGCGGTGGGGTAGCCTAGTGGTTAAAGCGTTCAATCATCACCCGGGAAGACCCAGATTTGATTTCCCATATGTGAATGTGTGAAGCCCATTTCTGGTGTCCCGCACCGTGACATTGCTGGAATATTGCTAAAAGCAAAGTAAAACCTTATCACTCTCATACCAATACGAAGACCCATATGCACTAGTGTGGGTCTTTGACGTGATGAGCGATTGCTATAACCACAGGGCTACCCCACTGCCCCTGCTGAGAAAGAAAGGTACATTATTATGATGCACGGTAGTGTATGGATAACAACATCGTTATTATATTATGATGAGATGAGAACTTTTTAAGTATGTTGATATAAAAAAGAAAGAAGTTCCATAAAGCTCCCTACCTTTCTTATCACATATGTCTATTTTGTAAACTTTCTTAACCTGAAATGGAACTAATGTAGATAAACTGGCAGTCGCAATAGGTAAAGGTAGAATCTGTATCATTCATAGTTGATTACAAACACTGCAAGTCTGATGTCACTGAAGGAATTTGCACCATATTGTCAGAATTCCAAGAGAATGTTACAAGCGTGATGATCATTTAGAGGAATCGCTGTTTGTCTTGACGATCTTGAAGAGAAATGTTTTATTCAGATCCATTTTCCTCATGGAATCATTTTATCCAAGCAATGGTTGTACATAGATATTGGATCAATAAGGAGCATGATTTTAGGTCAGTAGAACTGCTGTGGAAAAACCTGTCACAGTCAGAGGTACTCAGTGTGAGAGTGAGAGAACACACATAGCAAGTACCTGTCACAGTCGGAGATACTGAGTGTGAGAGTGAGAGAACACACATAGCAAGTACCTGTCACAGTCGGAGATACTGAGTGTGAGAGTGAGAGAACACACACAGCAAGTACCTGTCATAGTCGGAGATACTGAGTGTGAGAGTGAGAGAACACCCACAGCAAGTACCTGTCACAGTCAGAGATACTCAGTGTGAGGGTGAGAGAACAACCACAGCAAGTACCTGTCACAGTCAGACATACTCAGTGTGAGGGTGAGAGAACACCCACAGCAAGTACCTGTCACAGTCAGAGATACTCAGTGTGAGGGTGAGAGAACACACACAGCAAGTACCTGTCACAGTCAGAGATACTCAGTGTGAGGGTGAGAGAACACACACAGCAAGTACCTGTCACAGTCATAGATACTCAGTGTGAGCAGAGACCATATAATAGATTATGGTCTCTGATGTGAGGGTGAGAAAACACACAGCAGGTACCTGTCACAGTCGGAGATACTGAGTGTGAGTGTGAGAGAACACACACAGCAAGTACCTGTCACAGTCGGAGATACTGAGTGTGAGAGTGAGAGAACACACACAGCAAGTACCTGTCATAGTCAGAGATACTCAGTGTGAGGGTGAGAGAACACCCACAGCAAGTACCCGTCACAGTCAGAGATACTCAGTGTGAGGGCGATGGAACACCCACAGCAAGTACCCGTCACAGTCAGAGATACTCAGTGTGAGGGTGAGAGAACACCCACAGCAAGTACCTGTCACAGTCAGAGATACTCAGTGTGAGGGTGAGAGAACACCCACAGCAAGTACCTGTCACAGTCAGAGATACTCAGTGTGAGGGTGAGAGAACACACACAGCAAGTACCTGTCACAGTCGGAGATACTCAGTGTGAGGGTGAGAGAACACAAACAGCAAGTACCTGTCCCAGTCGGAGATACTCAGTGTGAGAGTGAGAGAACACACATAGCAAGTACCTGTCACAGTCGGAGATACTCAGTGTGAGAGTGAGAGAACACCCACAGCAAGTACATGTCATAGTCAGAGATACTCAGTGTGAGGGTGAGAGAACACACACAGCAAGTACCTGTCCCAGTCAGAGATACTCAGTGTGAGAGTGAGAGAATACACATAGCAAGTACCTGTCACAGTCAGAGATACTCAGTGTGAGAGTGAGAGAACACCCACAGCAAGTACATGTCATAGTCGGAGATACTCAGTGTGAGAGTGAGAGAACACCCACAGCAGGTACCTGTCACAGTCGGAGATACTCAGTGTGAGAGTGAGAGAACACCCAGAGCAAGTACCTGTCCCAGTCGGAGATACTCAGTGTGAGGGTGAGAGAACACACACAGCAAGTACCTGTCACAGTCGGAGATACTCAGTGTGAGGGTGAAAGAACACCCACAGCAAGTACCTGTCACAGTCAGAGATACTCAGTGAGGGTGAGAGAACACCCACAGCAAGTACCTGTCACAGTCAGAGATACTCAGTGTGAGAGTGAGAGAACACACACAACAAGCACCTGTCACAGTCAGAGATACTCAGTGTGAGGGTGAGACAACACCCACAGCAAGTACCTGTCACAGTCGGTGATACTCAGTGTGAGAGTGAGAGAACACACAGCAAGTACCTGTCACAGTCAGAGATACTCAATGTGAGGGTGAGAGAACACAAACAGCAAGTACCTTTCACAGTCAGAGATACTCAGTGTGAGGGTGAGAGAACATCCACAGCAAGCACCTGTCATAGTCAGAGATACTCAGTGTGAGAGTGAGAGAACACACATAGCAAGTACCTGCCACAGTCGGAGATACTCAGTGTGAAAGTGAGAGAACACACACACAGCAAGTACATGTCATAGTCGGAGATACTCAGTGTGAGAGTGAGAGAACACACACAGCAGGTACCTGTCACAGTCGGAGATACTCAGTGTGAGAGTGAGAGAACACCCTGAGCAAGTACCTGTCCCAGTCGGAGATACCCAGTGTGAGGGTGAGAGAACACACACAGCAAGTACCTGTCACAGTCGGAGATACTCAGTGTGAGGGTGAAAGAACACCCACAGCAAGTACCTGTCACAGTCAGAGATCCACAGCTTGTTGTTCTTGAGTAGATGGGAAACATAGAAAATAATATGGACAGCCTAAAAGTCAATTTGATCTTCTATCGTGTTGTTAAATGACTGTTAAATATATAGGTAAACTAACCTCCCCTGACACCAGAATGTGCACATTGCATTTCTGTGCATGTGTTGAGGGCAGATGTTATCTTTACACATATGAAATGTTTATTACTGTCAAGTTTATCTCCATAAAAAGAACAAAAGGAATGAACAAATAAACACTGTTGACAAAGACAAAAGAAGATGGACAAAGTTTAGGATTTAAATATTTATTTCTCTAAATGAGAAAATGCATATTAGAGCATTTGATATGTTTCCTTACAATATTGTGTTAATGTATCACAAAACAGCAGAAAAAAACAATACCGATAAAGTACATCACGTATATACGTATATGTGCCACTGAGTATATGACATGAGTGTCAGAAGTCTTTCCCCAGAAAAAGCAAGGGTAAAACAACAATTCTTACATTAAAGTCAGTATGACCACATGTGAGTATAAGAATTTCTTTATAACCCATTTCTGAAACATTCTTTAAGCGCCCGTGTATAAAACACTCACAACCACTGTCAGAAAACTGCAATGGATGACCTCAACAATCTTCATCAATGCGGTCATTTCTAGTGTGACATCACATTGATGTTATGTGACAATAATATCTGAATGACCTCAATCATCTTCATCTATGAGACCATTTCTAGTGTGACATTATATTGATGTTTTGCTTATTAAGATTTGAATAACATCAACAATGACATCTGGATGACTTAATCAATATTTGTCACAGTCACAGTCAGAGATACTCATTGTGAGGGTGAGAGAACACCCACAGCAAGTACCTGTCATAGTCAGAGATACTAAGCTCCATAAGCCTTTTGAGTAGATAGGAAACACAGAAAATAGTATGGACAGTGAAAAAAACATTTTTGATGTCCATTCGTGCTGTTAATTAGCCGTTAAACGAAGAGTTTAAACCCAGCTCACTGATACATAACACATAACACCTGTACGTGTACAAGTAGATAACATAACATAACAGTCCATTTGTATAGCACTAATTCCATGCTCAACGCATGCTCCAAACGCACAGTTGTGAGAAGATTCAGAGAAGACATTGCTTGTCTGAGGTGAGGTGAGGTGAGGTGAGGTGAGGTGAAATTGGGTTTAACGTCATGCTTGAGAATATTTCGCTCATATGTGTATGTGCGGCTGCTTGTACTAGCCCAGACTGAAGCTGGTTTTATAGTGCTAGCCCACTGAGATACCATGCCGCAGTGAAGCATGAATACCCCACTCAGACACATTATACTGACTCCGAGCCGACCAGTCCTTGTTGTACCCATTAATGCCGAGAGCCAGGCAGGGACCAACAAGTACCATATTTTAACGTCTTTTGGTATGACGCGGTCGGGGATCGAACCTGCGACCTTCCGCTCTCCGGGCGGACGCTCTAACCACTACACCACCCAGGCGGTCAAGCTTGTCTGAAGAGATATAGGTTATAAGGCTTGTTATGACGGTTGATAGTGATTCTGAAAAGCAAATCATCTGAGTAAGAGCAGCACTCCACCACGTAGGCAGCGGCAAAGGCAAATGAACATTGACCATGGCTGGGAACGTTGGGGAGAATAAGTCCACAAGTAGGAAGAAGCTTGATTGTTTAAGCACTTGTAAGTCAGACAGAGGACTTTGAATGTGATCCTTAGTGAGACTGGAAGCAAGTGTAGCTCAAATTTATTGTCATAAACAGAAATAAAAGGAATGATCACATAAACACTGTTAACAAAGACAAAAGAAGAGGGACCAAGTTTAGGATGTGATAATTTATTTCTCTAAATGAGAAAATGCATATTAGAGTATTGATATCTGTTCCCTTACAATATTGTGTTAATGTATAACAAAACAGAAGAAAAAAACAATATCGATAAAGTACATCACAGCATACTTCAGTTGAAAGCACACTGATCTACCTTTCAAAAATATCATTGCACACATTAGCTCATAAAGAATGCATGTGTGCCACACTGATTTTATGAGGTGAGTGTCAGAAGTCTTTCCCCAGAAAAAGCAAGGGTAAAACATCAATTATTACATTAAAAACAGTATGACCACATGTGGGTATAATAATTTCTTTATTACCCAGTTTAGAAAATTTCTTTTAGCTCCGATGTAGAAAACACTCACAACCACTGTCAGAAAACTACAATGGATGACCTCAACAATCTTCATCAATGATATCATTTCTAGTGTGACATCATGCCGATGTTATGTCACAATAAGATCTGAATGACCTCAACAATCTTCATCAATGATATCATTTCTGGCATGACATCATACCGATGTTATGTCACGATAAGATCTGAATGACCTCAACAATCTTCATCAATGATATCATTTCTAGCATGACATCATACCGATGTTATGTCACAATAAGATCTGAATGACCTCAACAATCTTCATCAATGATATCATTTCTAGTGTGACATCATACCGATGTTATGTCACGATAAGATCTGAATGACCTCAACAATCTTCATCAATGAGGTCATTTCTAGTGTGACATCATACCGATGTTATGTCACAATAAGATCTGAATGACCTCAACAATCTTCATCAATGATATCATTTCTGACATCATGACATCATACCGATGTTATGTCTTCGATAAGATCTGAATGACCTCAACAATCTTCATCAATGATATCATTTCTAGTGTGACATCATACCGATGTTATGTCACGATAAGATCTGAATGACCTCAACAATCTTCATCAATGATATCATTTCTAGCGTGACATCATACCGATGTTATGTCACGATAAGATCTGAATGACCTCAACAATCTTCATCAATGAGGTCATTTCTAGCATGACATCATACCGATGTTATGTGACAATAAGATCTGAATGACCTCAACAATCTTCATCAATGAGGTCATTTCTAGCATGACAACATACCGATGTTATGTGACAATAAGATCTGAATGACCTCAACAATCTTCATCTATGAGGTCATTTCTAGCATGACATCATACCGATGTTATGTGACAATAAGATCTGAATGACCTCAACAATCTTCATCAATGAGGTCATTTCTAGCATGACATCATACCGATGTTATGTGACAATAAGATCTGAATGACCTCAACAATCTTCATCAATGATATCATTTCTAGTGTGACATCATACCGATGTTATGTCACGATAAGATCTGAATGACCTCAACAATCTTCATCTATGAGACCATTTCTAGTGTCACATCATATTGATCTTTTGCTCATTAAGATTTGAATAACATCAACAATGACATCTGGATGACTTAATCAATACCCTGCTGTGCATGAAGTCAGAAGTGATATTTGCACAAAAACACATACAATTTTTATGAAGTTAGTTATTTCTAACACTGTAAAAATATCACATATAGTTAACAACAGATGTCTGACACTATGGCCACACATAACATTTTGAAAATGACACATAAAAATTTGGGCAGTCAAACATTTAGCTCCCACATTGTTCTGCAAACGAGAAAGAATGTCTTATTCAATGAATAAAAATTAACGGAATCTGATTAATGATTAAATATTATACCATAAAAGGCTCTTTAAATGCTGAATATACATCTTGGCAGGAAAATGAACATACATAGCAGATTAACTTGTACTGTACTTCCCACATCCCACTGTTAGTCATTGATACATGGCGCCGCCATATAGCTGGAATATTGCTGAGTGCGACGTAAAACTAAACTCACTCACTCACTCACTCATTGATACATGGATTACAAGGGTAATATTGAGCATTCAAGATTTCCATATCATGCGATAGTTATTTCATTTAGATTTCAAGTTGAATTGTCTGAAAATCCTTTCAAATAAACAGAGGAGCAAAAACAACTATACCTCTCCTTTTCTTTAGCTTTTCATATTAATTTTCAAAACATTTTTATGTCTATATCATATATCAAAAATATTAACTGTATTGGTGTTTAGTCAGCTCTCAGATAATATTTGTATACTGTTTCATTATAAAAATACAGTTTGAGTTAAATGTTTTAAAATAAAGACAAGGGATTTACATCATATACAATGGGTATAAACGGGGTGATGTGGTAGCCTTGTGGCTAAAGCGTTCACTCATCACGAGTTTGATTCCCCACATGGATACAATGTGTGAAGCCCATTTCTGGTGTCCCCCACCATGATATTGCTGGAATATTGCTAAAAGCGGCGTAAAACCATACTCCCTCACTCAATCTAACAATAAAATTGCCTTTTTTCACAATTTATAACATTCAAGACATGGTAATGGTCACACTTGTAACAAACAACTTGTTAATGATTTAATCAATACTATTAGTGAAACAGATATGTTTATATTGTGCACAGTCAATGAGAAATTATGTCATGTCCTAATTTTGAACATTTAAATGTCACACATCTTACTTTGAACATTTAAAATATCCCAGATCTCACATTAAATATTTAGAATGTCACTGATCTTACTTTGAACTGGGGTAATGGCACAGTTCATAGTTTAAACAGGTTAAATGGCCCAGTCACAATTCTGAACAGGTAAAATGGTCCTGCAATAATTCTGAATAGGCAAAATGGCCCAGTTCATATTTTAAACAGGTAAAATGGCCCAGTCAATATTTCCATTAATCAAAATGTTGGTCCTTGTCTTGAACAGAGAGAACAAAAAGGTCCTGCTCGTACAAAAAGGTTCCACAACATCAGTTTAGAGGCACACAGAGGTAGGGTTCTGAATATTGAATCTAAATATTTGTCTAAATGATCACACAATCTTTAGACTTCTTCCTTGGTCTGTTGTCACTTGTGGGTCTGTTGTCGCTTGTGGGTCTGTTGGTGCTTCTGGGTCTGTTGTCGCTTGTGGGTCTGTGGGTGCTTCTGGGTCTGTTAGAGTAGCCAGACGTAGTGGTTCGTCCCGTCTCCACCATCAGGAATGTCACGCCATCCTTGGAACCAGCATCACGGAGGGCACTCTGTAGACAAGACAGCTTGTGATTGGCCAGTTCCTGTTTTTCTGAAGTGTCGCTGTCCTTGCGGATGTAGTACTGGACGTTCTCGATCAGATCACTGTGCGTGTTGCAGGTTACCTCAAGGTTCAGTAACTCAATGAACTCCGGCAATGTGGACATCTGAGAGAGTAAAATCATTATTTCAAATACATACAAGTCTGTCTTCATTAGGTGTGTTCTCACGGTATGAATAGTGACAACTCGTAGCATGCAACCAGAGACCACATAATAGATCTATTATATATGGTCTCTGATACAACACACCTGCATCATGAGAAGACCCAAATCGTAATGATTTCAAATCACATACAACTAAATTTTAGTTGCATCCGAGTCGTAAGACATAGGATTTGTCTCAATTGACAAAACGTATGCTACAGGTTGTTACTACAAGTCGCACCAAGAGAATGTACCTTTAGCAGACTGTCAAAATATGAAGTACTAAGGACATATTCTCCTATACTGATGCATAAATAAGAGTATCTTATTCAAAAACATTTGTTTAAAAATACATAATACAACTAACCTGGAACCATGAACAACTATTCATTTGCAATAAAGACCTGAGGTGGATTCTTTCTGAATTTATTCTCCACGGTCTGGGAGACAGATATCCCAGCGTTCGATATAATCGCAAGCCCGGAGGCCCAGCGCCGGTTTTTATTGTATTGGGCCGGCAGTTTCAAATATTTGCAGGCCTTTGTGGCCTTCAGTAAATTATATTATTTATTTTTTTCTTCAACTGGAATCTTTCCCATAATTAGTTTTCTTTATTAACGTTTGGGAATTATCCATGATCCATCATGTTACGATAACTTACAGTTTCTCTTTCTGGTATTTCAGCGCTTTGCGCATAGGAATGTCAACTGCACCATACGTTTCACAAACTGATTTTGTAGAAACAGTGTGAAACTGTGTACAGTGTAGTCTATTTTGTTTGGGGCGGTGGGGTAGCCTAGTGGTTAAAGCGTTGGCTCGTCACGCCATAGACCCGGGTTCGAATCCATTCATGGGTACATTGTGTGAAGCCCATTTCAGGTGTCCTCCGCCGTGATGTTGCTGGAATATTGCTAAAAGTTGCGTAAAACCAAACTCAGTCAGTCAGTCCATCATGTTACGATAACTTACAGTTTCTCTTTCTGGTATTTCAGCGCTTTGCGCATAGGAATGTCAACTGCACCATACGTTTCACAAACTGATATCGTAGAAACAGTGTAAAACTGTGTACAGTGTAGTCTATTTTGTTTTTGTGTCACTATAACAAAATGGGCCTGGCTAGCTATTCTCCAAACGTTCGTAGCCCTACGAACTTCTTAAGCCCATTCTTAACACATTGGCTACGATCAAAGTTAAGAATTCCTAGAGCTACGAACGTTTCGAGAATAAGGGCCCTGCAGATTTCATTCAGGGTCTGTAGATTTTAAGGATTGCAGGCTGCAACAGCCCTGATGGCCAACTGGCAAATTAAAGTATTGAAGAATACAATAAAAAGAAGATGTAACCCAGAAAAAATCTCTATGTTAAACACTGAGATATCCACAAGAGACAATAGAGTCTTACAGTAAGTCTGGGGTACTGGGGACACAACTGAGAGAAAGAACAATTAGGCTGATTGTATACCTCTCAACTCCGTATATGTGTGTGCTCAAAGTGCTGTTATTATTCATACAAGAGTTGTCTTCACTGATCAGCAGATCGGGTTGTCAGGCTCGCTAACGTGGTTGACAGGATAACAGTCACTCACAACAAGTATTGGGTATTTGGGACATCTTCAGCCTGCATCACAAACAGGATAACAATTACTCACAACAAGTATTGGGTACTTGGGACATCTTCAGCTGTATCCCACACAGGATAACAATTACTCACAACAAGTTTTGGGTACTTGGGACATCTTCAGCCTGTATCCCACACAGGATAACAATTACTTACAACAAGTATTGGGTACTTGGGACATCTTCAGCCTGTATCGCACACAGGATAACAATTACACGCAACAAGTATTGGGTACTTGGGGCATATTCAACCTGTATCGCACACAGGATAACAATTTCTTACAACAAGTATTGGGTACTTGGGATATCTTCAGCCTGTATCGCACACAGGATAACAATTACACGCAACAAGTATTGGGTACTTGGGACATATTCAACCTGTATCGCACACAGGATAACAATTACTTACAACAAGTATTGGGTACTTGGGATATCTTCAGCCTGTATCCCACACAGGATAACAATTACCTAACAAGTATTGGGTACTTGGGACATATTCAACCTGTATCCCACACAGGATAACAGTTACTCACGACAAGTATTGGGTTCTTCGGACATATTCAACCTGTATCCCACACAGGATAACAATTACTTACAACAAGTATTGGGTACTTGGGACATCTTCAGCCTGTATCGCACACAGGATAACAATTACTTACAACAAGTATTGGGTACTTGGGACATATTCAACCTGTATCCCACACAGGATAACAATTACTCACAACAAGTATTGGGTGCCAGCACATACTCAACCTGTATCACACACAGGATAACAGCTAGTACCGGTCATAGTCAGAGATACTCAGTGTGTGAGGGTGAGAGAACACCCACAGCAAGAACCCATCACAGTCAGAGATACTCAGTGTGAGGGTGAGAGAACACCCACAGCAAGTACCTGTCAGTCAGAGATACCTAGTGTGAGGGTGAGAGAACACCCACAGCAAGTACCTGTCACAGTCGGAGATACTCAGTGTGAGGGTGAGAGAACACCCAGAGGAAGTACCTGTCAGTCAGAGATACCTAGTGTGAGGGGGAGAGAACACCCACAGCAAGTACCTGTCATAGTCAGAGATACTCAGTGTGAGGGTGAGAGAACACCCACAGCAAGTACCTGTCACAGTCTGAGATACTCAGTGTGAGGGTGAGAGAACACCCACAGCAAGTACCTGTCATAGTCTGAGATACTCAGTGTGAGGGTGAGAGAACACCCAGTGGAAGTACCTGTCAGTCAGAGATACCTAGTGTGAGGGTGAGAGAACACCCACAGCAAGTACCTGTCACAGTCAGAGATACTCAGTGTGAGGGTGAGAGAACACCCACAGCAAGTACCCGTCACAGTCAGAGATACTCAGTGTGAGGGTGAGAGAACACCCACAGCAAGTACCTATCAGTCAGAGATACTCAGTGTGAGGGTGAGAGAACGCCCACAGCAAGTACCTGTCAGTCAGAGATACCTAGTGTGAGGGTGAGAGAACACCCAGAGGAAGTACCTGTCACAATCAGAGATACTCAGTGTGAGGGTGAGAGAACACCCACAGCAAGTACCTGTCAGTCAGAGATACTCAGTGTGAGGGTGAGAGAACGCCCACAGCAAGTACCTGTCAGTCAGAGATACCTAGTGTGAGGGTGAGAGAACACCCACAGCAAGTACCCGTCACAGTCAGAGATACTCAGTGTGAGGGTGAGAGAACACCCACAGCAAGTACCTGTCAGTCAGAGATACTCAGTGTGAGGGTGAGAGAACACCCAGAGGAAGTACCTGTCACAGTCTGAGATGCTCAGTGTGAGGGTGAGAGAACACCCACAGCAAGTACCTGTCACAGTCAGAGATACTCAGTGTGAGGGTGAGAGAACACCCAGAGGAAGTACCTGTCAGTCAGAGATACCTAGTGTGAGGGTGAGAGAACACCCACAGCAAGTACCTGTCACAGTCTGAGATACTCAGTGTGAGGGTGAGAGAACACCCACAGCAAGTACCTGTCACAGTCGGAGATACTCAGTGTGAGGGTGAGAGAACACCCAGAGGAAGTACCTGTCACAGTCTGAGATGCTCTGTGTGAGGGGTGAGAGAACACCCAGAGGAAGTACCTGTCACAGTCTGAGATGCTCAGTGTGGGGAGAGAACACCCACAGCAAGTACCTGTCATAGTCTGAGATACTCAGTGTGAGGGTGAGAGAACACCCACAGCAAGTACCTGTCACAGTCTGAGATACTCAGTGTGAGGGTGAGAGAACACCCACAGCAAGTACCTGTCACAGTCTGAGATACATAGTGTGAGGGTGAGAGAACACCCACAGCAAGTACCTGTCACAGTCAGAGATACTCAGTATGAGGGTGAGAGAACACCCAGAGGAAGTACCTGTCACAGTCTGAGATACTCAGTGTGAGGGTGAGAGAACACCCAGAGGAAGTACCTGTCACAGTCGGAGATATTCAGTGTGAGGGTGAGAGAACACCCAGAGGAAGTACCTGTCACAGTCGGAGATATTCAGTGTGAGGGTGAGAGAACACCCACAGCAAGTACCTGTCACAGTCAGAGACACTCAGTGTGAGAGAACACCCACAGCAAGTACCTGTCACAGTCAGAGATCCACAGCTTGTTGTTCTTGAGTAGATGGGAAACACAGAAAATAATATGGACAGCCTAAAAGTTAATTTAATCTTCAATCGTGTTGTTAAATGACTGTTAAATATATAGGTAAACCCACTTCCCCTGACACCAGAATGTGCACATTGCATTTCTGTGCATGTGTTGAGGGCAGATGTTATCTTTACACATATGAAATGTTTATTCCTGTCAAGTTTATCTCCATAAAAAGAACTAAAGGAATGAACAAATAAACACTGTTGACAAAGACAAAAGAAGATGGACAAAGTTTAGGATTTAAATATTTATTTCTCTAAATGAGAAAATGCATATTAGAGTATTGATATCTGTTCCCTTACAATATTGTGTTAATGTATAACAAAACAGAAGAAAAAAACAATATCGATAAAGTACATCATGTATATACGTATATGTGCCACTGAGTATATGACATGAGTGTCAGAAGTCTTTCCCCAGAAAAGCAAGGGTAAAACAACAATTATTACATTAAAGTCAGTATGACCACATGTGAGTATAATAATTTCTTTATAACCCATTTCTGAAAAATTCTTTAAGCGGCCATGTATAAAACACTCACAACCACTGTCAGAAAACTGCAATGGATGACCTCAACAATCTTCATCAATGAGGTCATTTCTAGTGTGACATCATACCAATGTTATGTCACAATAATATCTGAATGACCTCAATAATCTTCATCTATGAGGTCATTTCTAGTGTGCTTATCACATTGATGTTATGTGACACTAATATCTGAATGACCTCAACAATCTTCATCTATGAGGTCATTTCTAGTGTGACATCACATTGATGTTATGTGACACTAATATCTGAATGACCTCAACAATCTTCATCTATGAGGTCATTTCTAGTGTGACGTCATGCCGATGTTATGTCACAATACCATCAAAATGACCTCAACAATCTTCATCAATGAGACCATTTCTAGTGTGACATCATACCGATGTTATGTCACGATACCATCAGAATGACCTCAACAATCTTCATCTATGAGACCATTTCTAGTGTGACATTATATTGATGTTTTGCTTATTAAGATTTGAATAACATCAACAATGACATCTGGATGACTTAATCAATACCCTGCTGTGCATGAAGTCAGAAGTGATATTTGCACAAAAACACATACAATTTTTATGAAGTTAGTTATTTCTAACACTGTAAAAATATCACATATAGTTAGCAACAGATGTCTGACACTATGGCCACATATAACATTTTGAAAATGACACATAAAAATTTGGGCAGTCAAACATTTAGCTCCCACATTGTTCTGCAAACGAGAAAGAATGTCTTACTCAATGAAGAAAATTAACGGAATCTGATTAATGATTAAATATTATACCATAAAAGGCTCTTTAAATGCTGAATTTACATCTTGGCAGGAAAATGAACATACATAGCAGATTAACTTGTACTGTACTTCCCACATCCCACTGTTAGTCATTGATACATGGCGCCGCCATATAGCTGGAATATTGCTGAGTGCGGTGTAAAACTAAACTCACTCACTCACTCATTGATACATGGATTACAAGGGTAATATTGAGCATTCAAGATTTCCATATCATGCGATAGTTATTTCATTAAGATTTCAAGTTGAATTGTCTGAAATCCTTCAAATAAACAGAGGAGCAAAAACAACTATACCTCTCCTTTTCTTTAGCTTTTCATATTATTATTTTCAAAACATTTTTATGTCTATATCATATATCAAAAATATGAACTGTATTGGTGTTTAGTCATCTCTCAAAGAATATTTGTACCCTGTTTCATTATAAAAATACAGTTTGAGTTAAATGTTTTAAAATAAAGACAAGGGATTTGCATCATATACAATGGGTATAAATGGGGTGATGTGGTAGCCTAGTGGCTAAAGCGTTAAGCTCATCGAGTTTGATTCCCACATGGGTACAATGTGTGAAGCCCATTTCTGGTGTCCCCCACCATGATATTGCTGGAATATTGCTAAAAGCGGCGTAAAACCATACTCCCTCACTCAATCTAACAATAAATTTGCCTTTTTTCACTATTCATAACATTCAAAACATGGTAATGGTCACACTTGTAACAAACAACTTGTTAATGATTTAATCAACACTATTAGTGAAACAGATATGTTTATATTGTGCACAGTCAATGAAAAATTATGTCATGTCCTAATTTTGAACATTTAAAATATCCCAGATCTCACATTAAACATTTAGAATGTCACTGATCTTACTTTGAACTGGGGTAATGGCACAGTTCATATTTTAAACAGGTTAAATGTCCCAGTCACAATTCTGAACAGGTAAAATGGTCCTGCAATAATTCTGAATAGGCAAAATGGCCCAGTTCATATTTTAAACAGGTAAAATGGCCCAGTCAATATTTCCATTAATCAAAATGTTGGTCCTTGTCTTGAACAGAGAGAACAAAAAGGTCCTGCTCGTACAAAAAGGTTCCACAACATCAGTTTAGAGGCACACAGAGGTAGGGTTCTGAATATTGAATCTAAATATTTGTCTAAATGATCACACAATCTTTAGACTTCTTCCTCGGTCTGTTGTCACTTGTGGGTCTGTTGTCGCTCATGGGTCTGCTGGTGCTTGTGGGTCTGTTGTCGCTTGTGGGTCTGTTGGTGCTTGTGGGTCTGTCGCTTGTGGGTCTGTTGTCACTTGTGGGTCTGTTGTCGCTTGTGGGTCTGTCCCTTGTGGGTCTGTTGGTGCTTGTGGGTCTGTTGTCGCTTGTGGGTCTGTTGGTGATTGTGGGTCTGTTGTCGCTTGTGGGTCTGTTGTCGCTTGTGGGTCTGTTGGTGCTTCTGGGTCTGTTGTCGCTTGTGGGTCTGTCGCTTGTGGGTCTGTTGGTGCTCATGGGTCTGCTGGTGCTTGTGGGTCTGTTGTCGCTTGTGGGTCTGTTGGTGATTGTGGGTCTGTTGTCGCTTGTGGGTCTGTTGGTGCTTGTTGGTCTGTTGTCGCTTGTGGGTCTGTTGTCACTTGTGGGTCTGTCGCTTGTGGGTCTGTTGTCGCTTGTGGGTCTGTTGTCGCTTGTGGGTCTGTTGGTGCTTGTGGGTCTGTTGTCGCTTGTGGGTCTGTTGGTGCTTCTGGGTCTGTTGTCGCTCGTGGGTCTGTTGTCGCTTGTAGGTTTGTTGGTGCTTCTGGGTCTGTTAGAGTAGCCAGACGTAGTGGTTTGTCCCGTCTCCACCATCAGGAATGTCAAGCCATCCTTGGAACCAACATCACAGAGGGCACTCTGTAGACAAGACAGCTTGTGATTGGCCAGTTCCTGTTTTTCTGAAGTGTTGCTGTCCTTGCGGATGTAGTACTGGACGTTCTCGATCAGATCACTGTGCATGTTGCAGGTTACCTCAAGGTTCAGTAACTCAATGAACTCCGGCAATGTGGACATCTGAGAGAGTAAAATCATTATTTCAGATACATACAAGTCTGTCTTCATTAGGTGACAGTTTCAAATATTTGCAGGCCCTTGTGGCCTTCAGTAAATTATATTATTTATTTTTTTCTTCAACTGGAATCTTTCCCATAATTAGTTTTCTTTATTATTGTTTGGGAATTATCCATGATCCATCATGTTTCTGATAACTTACAGTTTCTCTTTCTGGTATTTCAGCTTCTAGCATAGGAAATCAACTGCACCATCACGTTTCACAAACTGATATCGTAGAAACAGTGTAAAACTGTGTACAGTGTAGTCTATTTTGTTTTGTGTCACTATAACAAAATGGGCCTGGCTAACTATTCTCCAAGCGTTAAGTAGCCCTACTGAACTTCTTAAGCCATTCTTAATACATTGGCTACGATCAAAGTTAAGAATTCCTAGAGCTTCTGAGCGTTTGAGAATAAGGGCCCTGCAGATTTCATTCAGGGTCTGTAGATTTTAAGGATTGCAGGCTGCAACAGCCCTGATGGCCAACTGGCAAATTAAAGTATTGAAGAATACAATAAAAAGAAGATGTAACCCAGAAAAATCTCTATGTTAAACACTGAAATATCCACAAGAGACAATAGGAGTCTTACAGTAAGTCTGGGGTACTTGGGACACAACTGAGAGAAAGAACAATTAGGCTGGTTGTATAGCTCTCAACTCCGTACACGTGTGTGCTCAAAGTGCTGTTATTATTCATACAAGAGTTGTCTTCACTGATCAGCAGATCGGGTTGTCAGGCTCGCTAACTTGGTTGACAGGATAACAGTCACTCACAACAAGTATTGGGTACTTGGGACATCTTCAGCCTGCATCCCACACAGGATAACAAGTACTCACAACAAGTATTGGGTACTTTGGACATGTTCAACCTGTATCGCACACAGGATAACAAGTACTCACAACAAGTATTGGGTACTTGGGACATCTTCAGTCTGCATCGCAAACAGGATAACAATTACTCACAACAAGTATTGGGTACTTGGGACATGTTCAACCTGTATCCCACACAGGATAACAATTACTTACAACAAGTATTGGGTACTTGGGACATATTCAGCCTGTATCGCACACAGGGTAACAATTACTTACAACAAGTATAGGGTACTTGGGACATATTCAACCTGTATCCCACACAGCATAACAATTACTGACAACAAGTATTGGGTACTTGGGACATCTTCAGCCTGTATCCCACACAGGATAACAATTACACGCAACAAGTATTGGGTACTTGGGACATATTCAATCTGTATCCCAAACAGGATAACAATTACTTACAACAAGTTGTGGGTACTTTGGACATCTTCAACCTGTATCCCACACAGGATAACAATTACTTACAACAAGTATTGGGTACTTGGGATATCTTCAGCCTGTATCCCACACGGGATAACAATTACTTACAACAAGTATTGGGTACTTGGGACATATTCAGCCTGTATCCCACACAGGATAACAATTACTCACAACAAGTATTGGATACTTGGGACATATTCAACCTGCATCCCACACAGGATAACAGTTACTTACAACAAGTATTGGGTACTTGGGACATATTCAACCTGTATCGCACACAGGATAACAATTACAACAAGTATTGGGTACTTGGGACATCTTCAACCTGTATCGCACACAAGATAACAATTACTTACAACAAGTATTGGGTACTTGGGACATCTTCAGCCTGTATCGCACACAGGATAATCGCATTTAGTGTTAACCGTTAAATTGTGTTATTGTTGGCGTTGCCATACAACATGCCTTTGTTTATAAACATGACCTTGGCACGCGCAGGCGCAAACATTACGTCAACAGATGATGTCATCAGTTGCTACGTCATCACACCACGCGACATATAACGGTGAGTTACCTCACTTCTCGCGTCACCACCGAACTCGCCTGTCGCGCACATTTGGGAGATTGTATGACAGAATCTCGTAGACTAATCTCGTCCTCTTTATCTCGCAACACAAGACGCACATATTACACGGCACCACAATGTCTCCAACAATTTAGGCGCGCGTTTAGCCTACAACTAGACGGACCCATTTGCCTAGACCAGCTTCTGCAATTCATAGGCTACATGTCAATTCAAGGTAAATCATCTCGTACTGTAAGGGCCTACATTTCAGCCTTATCCACCTGGCATAAACTAAATAACTTTATCAATCACTGTGAACATTTCTTGGTTAGAAAAGCCATCATCGGAATGCACAAGATTAAAGTTAAATGGGACATACGAAAGCCCATCATTTTTCCAATTCTTCAGCGAATCGTCAATGCTTTGCCTGTTATCTGCAGCTCTTCTTACGAAGCTCAGATGTTTAAATCAGCATTTACCTTAGCCTTTTTTGGTTTCCTTAGGGTCAGTGAGTTGGTTTGCAGTTCACAGGCCGATGATTCAAAAACTTCACTGCAAATTAATGATGTTTCACTTTCCGACCCGAGGGATTAACATTAAGCATAAGGTTTTGAAAACTGACCAGTTCGGTGAGAGGAACAGTGCTTTCAATTTCTCCTATTGTCTCAGAACTATGCTCAGTTAAGCTGGCTTTCGCTGGGTATCTCACGTCCAGACCATGCACTACCTCACAGCTTTTTGTCCATTTTGATGGCTCGTCATTAACTTCGCTATCAATTTCATGCGATTCTCAATAAGTAAGCTATCACATGTCGGTTATGGCGTGACCCAGTATACCTCACATTCTTTCAGAATAGGCTGCTACAACGGCGGCGATTAATGGTTTGGATGAAAGTATAATTCAGCATTATGGTAGATGGTCATCTCGCACATACCAAGGCTATATTAGGTTCTAATAAAATACTCACAAATAATTAACTTAATCTAGTTAATATTTACTAGCTTGCCTTCTATTAATTACGTTGTTGTAGCAATTTTTCTGCTGTCCGATCTATGTTACAGATGTGGCCTGGGTAATTGGCGACAGCTACATGGCCAGAGCGAGGGGGAGCTTGGAGCAACATTTGCAACGTCTTGGCACTACACAATGGTATGTCCGAGGAGGCGATGATAAGCCACTCCGATCTTCCCTTAACAATCTCTTGGCTTCTGTGGGTAACACCACTCCCCAATGGCTCGTGATCCATTTAGGTTCAAAGCGACTTTTGCCAAATGTCCGCCAGGTGCATGTGCTGACGACATCCTATCACGATTTGCTGTATGCCAAGCTTCGTCTGCGGACACCAGGTTGGTGTGGTGCGTTCATGTTGCCCGCGTGTTGTGTGGCTGGCGGCTGGGAACATTAAAAGCTTGAACTTCCTCGCCAAAAGCTCAATCGAAGACTGGCTAACAGAATTGAAGAGCTACATGGGATCAGCGTCCACCGCGATCAGATTGATCCAGTTAAATGTAGCTTCGGAACATTACTTGGCGACGGGGTGCACCTGTCACTCAGTGCAATGGACTCTTTCGTGCACAATATTATCAATGCTTTAACTGCCAACTAACTCAGATAATGCTAAAATAGCGGCAATAAGTGAGCACACACTTTTCATAATTTTTCGTTAATTTTAGATTGTATCTGCTGTTAGATCTATCCACTGTTTTCTAATACCTATATCGTGCTGTGTGGATGGCCTGCGATTTGTATCGCGGTGGCCTGTTTGAGGTGAAGTTCTCAATCGCTATGCTGCTGGTTGTCTGCTTTCTGGCGGAAACCCCATAATCATAATTCCAGCCTGCTTTACAGTAGGTGGAATTCATTAAGCTTCGCTATGCTCACCTCGTCTGCTTGGTCACAGCGGAGAGGTGATTGTGTAATATGGTCTCGCTGCTACTTCTCACCCCTGTATAGCCATCCACACATATTGGCCACTACTTCCCAAAACAAATATCTTCCTTTTCATTATAACGCTAGTCCAGCAATAACAATTAGTTACAACAAGTATTGGGTGCTTGGGACATCTTCAGCCTGTATCCCACACAGGATAACAATTACTTACAACAAGTATTGGGTACTTGGGACATATTCAACCTGTATCCCACACAGGATAACAATTAGTTACAACAAGTATTGGGTACTTGGGACATCTTCAGCCTGTATCCCACACAGGATAACAATTACTTACAACAAGTATTGGGTACTTGGGACATATTCAACCTGTATCCCACACAGGATAACAATTACTTACAACAAGTATTGGGTGCTTGGGACATCTTCAGCCTGTATAAGCACACAGGATAACAATTACTTACAACAAGTATTGGGTACTTGGGACATATTCAACCTGTATTGCACAAAGGATAACAATTACTTACAACAAGTATTGGTACTTGGGACATATTCAACCTGTATGCGCACACAGGATAACAATTACTTACAACAAGCATTGGGAACTTGGGACATATTCAACCTGTATCCCACAAAGGATAACAATTACTTACAACAAGTATTGGGTACTTGGGACATCTTCAGCCTGTATCGCAAACAGGATAACAATTACTTACAACAAGTATTGGGAACTTGGGACATATTCAACCTGTATCCCACAAAGGATAACAATTACTTACAACAAGTATTGGGTACTTGGGACATCTTCAGCCTGTATCGCAAACAGGATAACAATGAATCCTTGCAAGTTGTGGGTACTTGGGACATATTCAGCCTGTATCGCACACAGGATAACAATTACTTACAACAAGTATTGGGTACTTGGGACATCTTCAGCCTGTATCCCACACAGGATAACAATGAATGCTTGCAAGTTGTGGGTACTTGGAACATATTCAATCGATACGCCACATATGATAACAAGTATTTGTACAAAACCATGGTTTGATCACTGTGGTTAAATCCTCATTTCAAAGCCTCATATGTCGTTATGCAGAGGATCAATCAACAACTTTTAATTATCCTTTACCCTAAGCCTGTTCTTAAAATCTTCAAAACTAAGGAAACAGTTTTCATTGCAGAGATCTTTCAGGAAGTGAATACCATGATGTATTTACAATTTCCAAACAATTGGAAGTTATACTGAAGTTAAAAGAAGCAGACCACTACGGGTGTTTTGTTTTTTGTTTTATCTGATATTCTCACCAGTTTAAAGAAAATTCTGATGAATTGAAATACTGATCTAATTAATTTATTTCACCTTATTATTTTCTGGAATGTGTTTTGTCTTTCTAGGAAATATACCAAGGATTGTAAGCTGTTAGATTTCCAATAATAAATTAACTACACACAAAAATAATTTCCAAAGATAGATTTAATAGATGATATCTGTAAAGTTTGTAAATGTGAAAAAAAGATTATCACATTTAATTTGAGAACATGTTCTAATATTTTGCTGATAAGTTCAACGGTTTATTAACAGTTATCTCAATATCACGTTTGTCAAAATACATAGTTATGTTAGGATTATGCACACATGGCCATGTAGTCAAGCACATCTTACTTTCAGCAAAGAGGGGGCGGTGGGGTAGCCTAATGGTTAAAGCGTTGGCTCGTCACGCCGAAGACCCGGGTTCGAATCCCCACATGGGCACAATGTGTGAAGCCCATTTCTGGTGTCCCCCGCCGTGATGTTGCTGGAATATTGCTAAAAGCGGCGTAAAAACCAAACTCAGTCAGTCAGTCATTCAGCAAAGCGATCCATCTATAAAGTATCAAGCAAGCAACATCTGCTGTCCTTTTATGCATTCATTAAGATAACAGAAGCTATCAAAGATATTTGTACAATTGAGAAATACATTGCAATTAAGAGCTACAAACTTCACCATAAATGCAGCTTTTAACTACTGGGATGAGAGTTACTGAAGCATTCATAAAATATCCCTTGAAACTCATGACTTCACTCAAGTCTTTCTTCATAATGTCTATACTACAGTGTATATCAGTGTAATTATTGCTATGTCTTATGTATGACATAATTATGTACTAGCTTTCAATTAGAACAAAAAATATTTACAACAAGTTTTGGGTACTTTGGACATTTTCAGCCTGTATCCAACACAGGGAACCGGTAGGTCTGTGTTCATCTTGGAGTGATGTTCTATTGTTTGTGTGGAGACACAAACGACAAGTATTGCCCATATCCCTCACACAGGATAACAGTGACCTCCGACAAGTTTGGATACTTAGGACCCACTCGACCCATATTCCTATGGTAGAGGCGGTGGGGAATAGCGTTGGTTCGTCACGCCCGAGACCGGGTTGAATCCCCACATGGGTACAATGTGTGAAGCCCATTTCTGGTGTCCCCTCGCCGTGATGTTGCTGGAATATTGCTAAAAGCGGCTTAAAACCAAACTCAGTCCTATGGTAGACCTCCGACATGTTTGGGATACTTAGGATCCACTCGACCCGTATTCCTAACACAGGATAACATCGACTTGGGACAAGTCTGGGGGTATCAGGGACTTACACTCAGTGTATAAAATATAGTCCGTCCCACCATCCTTGATGGTCTGTTTTTGTGAAGGCCAGTCTATTAAATAAGTAAGGTTGTCCTTTGGCGGGGAATTATTTGGAAAAAACTTGGTTTGAACTTCGTCTTAGCAGTCAACTTAGATCACATTATATTAGGCTAACTATTTTCAAGTTGCCTCTGTATTAATATATATATATGAAATTGGAAATTTGGAGAGAGGATAATAAATATTGTGAATAATACATTTGTTGATATTTTTTCAGGTTTTTGGACTGGCTGTGTTTGTTCAGGTCACTTTTTTGGACAGGCTACATTTCAAAACTATTTTACACAGTGCCTACACGTGGAATCAAATTTCATCTTCATGCAATGCATGTGCACTAGCCTCCATTTGCTCTACCTTTCGCACACCAAATGGGTTTGCTCATTGCCGTGCACCGCCTACTTCTCGTAATCGCTTTCTCTGCGCCGGTCCAACTTATCCTTGTTTGCCAGTAGGCCTCTTTCTTTTATAGATTTGGTTTACAGAGTTTGTTATTTTTAAAAGGATCTGGATGGATCTGTGTGACAGTATTTGACTGTGTCACTAATGACCCCAACTCACTTGATCAATGTTGTCTGCCATGAAACTAGCACACTCTTCCTTCAGTCTGGGTATCTCTAGTTCCTTGGCTGTTCTGTAGACCGATGTTACAGTCAAAGGTTTCAGACAGGATGACACCTCAACCAAAACTTGTTGCTTGAGACCCGGCAACACAAACCTTTCTGAGAGGATGAGCAAATCAATGGAGTTGTCTGGTGTTATCTGCAAAAGAGCACCAACCAAATTACTTGATCGTCTCTTACAATCACATACGCATTTACAATCACCCTTCCTGTAAAGATCTGGTTTAGTATTGGTCTTCAGCAGCCCATGTTTGTCGTAAGAAGTGACCAAAGGGATGGGGAGTTCAGGCTCACTGACTTGGTTGACACGTCATCGTATCCCAATTGCGCAGATTGATTTTCATAATGTTGATCTGGTCTAGATTTGATTACTTACAGACTGCCGCTATAAAACTCGAATATTGCTGAGTGCAGCATTAAACAACCAACAAACAAAGCAAACAAACACAATCGACCACCCTCATGTATATACATGGGGGACCAGAGGGGTAGCCAAGTTGTTAAAGCGTTCGCTTGTGACGCCGAAGACCCAGGTTCAATTGCGAACATGGGTACAATGTGTGAAGATCATATCTGTGTCCTTTGCTATGATATTCCTTGAATATTGCAAAAAGTGACATAAAACTAAACTCACTCACTCCACTCCACACATGAGACTTCCCCACCTGACACGTGTCTGTATAGATGAAGGACACAATCTGTGCAAAATGTTCAGCTGAAACTCCTTCCAGTCTTATGGAAGACCTGTAACCTTCAAAAGAAGGGACGATGTCTGCCTCCTTCTCAATAAGCAACACTCGGAAATACTCGCTTCGACTGTAGAAGAACACCTGCAACAAATAATCAGGTTATACTACAACCAATCACATTCTGTAGTTTCAGAAGCACTTCAGCTGTGATTGGATAATTTTGCGTAAGATTGTTTTGGTTTTTTTTAATGTACATCAATCCAGTAATTAAAACTGATCATATTTGTCAATATCTTGAGCTGTCTTTTTCACCACAATGACTTATGCTGAATGTGTACAGATATATTTTCAAGTAGGTGATATTTGGTGCAGAACTGGGGTTGGTGTGTTCAACTTCCTGTACTCAGAAAATGAATCATTAACCTAGCCAAGATTTGTGCTTTTATTGTGGCTTTAACTAGTTTAAGGCCATACTGCTCACACGTATGCATTTAATGGCTGTTAACGGACTGGTTATTTCTAAGACAATATAACGTTACCATGGAAGTCTATGGAAAAATATTTTGTTTTGTGTAACCATCAGGTTTCCCTGAATGTGTACACCAAGAGTTTTGTCCCTTATCCTCAACACACAGACTTTACAAAAGTAACTTGAGCAGAAATGTGGCCCTCTGCGCACTTACTGAGTTGGAAATCAACACGAGACAGATGTCATTTGTTTCCCTACTCTGATAAACAATCTAGTGGGGTTTTGTCACAAAAACATCTACAAAAACAGCCTCACATAAAAACCTGGTCCTCACCTTGTGGCACTGAAACTTGTGACCCTCCACTGAAAACACAATGTCAGAAAACAGCTCATCACCGACTGGTCGGCCCTCTCCTTCCGGCATCTGCAGCACAGGACGGGCAAATTCTTTCACACTATAATGCCAGGTTAAATCAAGAAGATTCTAGGGGCCGTGGGATAGTCTAGTGGTTAAAGCGTTGGCTCATCACGCCGAAGACCCGGGTTCGAATCCCCACATGGGTACAATCAGTGAAGCCCATTTCTGATGTCCCCCGCCGTGATATTGCTGGAATATTGCTAAAAGCGGCGTAAAACCAAACTCAGTCAGTCAGTCAAGGAGATTCTAAGAGGATGGTCCATGGTTTGGTATTTAACACTGTACAGATGGTCCTCAAATTGTTGTTGTGATGAGGGTACATGCATCCTCTAAACCTTCTTCGCTTATGTATCAGTTATGCCTGGTATCTTTTCTGGTTTCTGAATCAACATGTTTATTGGTACAACAGGTGTGACGTAGACACATTACGTGAGTGATTACCTGATAATAGAACTGTGGAGGTACAGCAGAAAAAGACAGATTAGCGAAGTCCGTCTTGAGGTCCTCACTCAGCTCCTTCCTCTGGACATGCACAACGGAAGAGTCTCCTGAGTCTGCCCAGAAAGTGATTCCAAACATTGTAAGAAACATTAGAAACTCTCAGGAGTCAAGCTGCCAAACACGGTCACCCATCCGAGGACTCTCCGAGCCAAACGTTGCTTAACTTCACCTGATTGTGACCTGATCTCTATACAGAGGACCACACACCACCATATTAGGTTGTAACATTTCTTATATGTCTTATAGTCTTTATTTGTGTAAATGTAGGCCATCGGCCCATGGTACAACATTATACATTGGCAGCCTTCAAGCTGTAGCGACGACGATTGTTAGCATAGAAGATAAACATGGCAAGATTTCTTAAAACAAGAGGAGTAGCATTACTCATCAGTCGATTAAATTTACACAAGGTTGGATGGGTGAAAACATCGACAGAGATAAAACTTTTACGTAGATCATCATAGACAGTACAAATCAATAAAAAGTGGTACTCATTTTCGACATAATTACAGGAACACATTTCACACAATCTTGAGTTTTTTGGTTTCTTTATATATCTACTAGTTTCTATATTCAGTTGGTGTGAACTACACCTGAACCTCGCTAAGGCAATTTCAAACGCTTTGTTGATCGGGGCCCAGTATTGCTGTATACTGCATTACTGTGACCAACACGATTGGTGTTCTTCAGAACGTGGTCATCACAGTCATCACAGAAACCACAACACGAAGGCATTGTCACAGTTCAATGTTGCAGCCCGCTTATAACAATTTCAGTTTACTATTTATGAAAATAACAAGACATGTTCCATGAATTACAGTCTTCAGATTTAATTAACTACTTCCAACAGAATGTTGCATTTTGTTGTTGCCGTGTTTTTCTCTAAAGTCTGTTTGGGTCAAAACGATGCTGATGAATCACAATCTAACCGCCATTCGGTTCAGAATGTAATGAAAACATCAGATCAACTCTGGAAAAAAGTTTCATAACGTTTGTCTCCAAAATATAAAAGTTACTTAACAAACGGTCATCATTTTGTTTGGATTTTCAGTGAAGTATTACAAGGGTAAAGTAACAGTTCAGAAACAGCCTCAATGCAGAAGAGCCAGCATTTATCTTCAAAGAGGGGTGAATAAATCACACAAATTGATTTTTTTTTCAAAATATGTAACAGTCCTGTGACCACACCCTCCAACCACCCACAAAATACACGACCATTCCTAAAATAGCAACACATTATAACTCAACTACAGCATACCTTGAGTAGGTCTGTCCAGTAACCCTGACGCCTTGTCGAAGTCAAGATACCTGAACAGCTTCTCCACGGACCTGACATCTCCAGGACTGACATCCAGCTTGCCTGAAAGAGACAAAAAAGAGCCAGTTTCACGAAGCAATCCTAGCTCTAAGGTGCTGGAAACTCTCATATTTTAACATTGGCGTAAGATCATCGTAGTGCTAAGATCACTTTGTGGGACGGGTTCCGGGTCTGTATGTTTTTCTTTATAAACAGTGACCCCTTGTAATTCCACAATGAAATGATCTCACTCTTCAGTAAAATCTAGGGATTTAAAACAATATTATTTTGGGCCAACGAGACAATCGGACTTGGGTCACGCCTACCTCATACATGAGAGTTGACATTTAAGTATTTGCAAAATACATGTTCTGTTGAAGTTTGCACATGGCACCACCTGCATGCTTGGAAACGCTATCAATGATGTAGAATGGAAAAGTCCATCTTTATACAGGGACTGAGAGAAGTGTCACATACAGCTGTATTAGCAATGTATGAAATAAGCCAAAACTCTAATCTGAATCTTGGTGGTTTCATGTTAAGTAGTGTATATAGATTGTATAGTATATCCGATAGTATATGAATTGTGATTCTGATACAGTCAGGTAAGACCAGGTTGGACCCTGGTCACATAAACTTATCAAAGTTGAAACACTAATGATCAACTCATCAAAATACGTATAATGTCAGACGCCTGGAGGGTGACCCATGTGTCCTGAACTACACGGTGTCCGCCCGGGAAAGCCACATTTGAAAAAATAGCAATTGCCCCCAAAGCCACATTTCAAGTAAAAACTTTGGTGCCGCGAATCGCCGCGAAAGCCACAATGAGCAAGGGAATCAATACTGGTTTTTTCAAATAAGCGTCACCCATTAATCACAATAGATCAAAATTGTTTTAGTGACTTGTCCTTTGTTTGTTTAGTTAACATATGATTCTTTATTCTGGTTGAAGTTTTTAGCTAACAAATGATAACATGTTCTGAGATAAAATGATACATGCTAATGGGTCATTCTATGGAAAAAGGGCAATTTAAAACAATACTGATTTTGGAAAATCCAGTCAGAAAGTTTGCTTAAAAACAGCTATGAAATGGAAAGAGTATATTTTTGCAATAAATGGTCATTCTTCTAAATAATTGTTTTGGTTTTGTTTTTTTTAGTTTTTAGCATGAATGGATTTCTAGATTTTACATATAATGAATATTTCACATTATTTACGGTAACATGGATCAGCTAACAGTGAATTGCCAGGAGAGCCACATTCACATGATCACTCAACCATGCCCATTGCCGGTTGAGCCACAACATTTTCAACTCTGTTTTTCTTAAATGTGGCTTTCCCGGGCTATAACCAACACTTAAGTGGGGACAGGTGATGTAGTAAAGCTTCAGAACTGATTCTGTTCAAACATCCATGTTAGTCAGACTACAGACTATTAGTCACATGTATTCGGTGCATATTGACATAAATAAAAGGTTGCCTTTTTCCAAAATAGGTTGCACTGGTGCATGTTTTATATGGGTTAATCGAGCAATTATTCAGATTCTCTTATGGCATAAATAGCATGGGGAAATTGAAAGCATTTGTAGAAAAAAAAAGATTCTAGTTAATATGAATAGATTCTATATAATGACATAGAAGGAACAGGTCAATTATTTTGTAAATAGAATATCATTTATGTTACAGGGCACTGCGGGAAACATTACCTGTGTAAATATACTGTAGTACTGCCCTGAGTCCCACTTCACTGAACTGGAATACACAAAAGAGGTTTTGTTTAAAATGTTAAACAAAAATATTTGGTTATTATAAAAACATTTTCTGCCACTTCCTGTTTCTGAAAAAAACTAAAACTATTTGTTAGATTTTGTAAATTTCTGAAATTTAAACATAAGACTGAAGATAAATAGGTGAGCTATAGCTACCAGGTCTTTCACAAACCAGTTGACCTAAAGGTGTCACAAATCATGTTTTCAAGACTTTTAAAAACTCTGTTTTATCAGGAACATTATTCAACCCACTCACTGTTTCCATCATTCACTCACTCCATCCCTCCTTACACACTCACTCACTCACCCTACTCACTCACTCACTCACTCACCATCCCCACTCACTCACTCACTTACCATCCCCACTCACTCACTCACATTCCCCCACTCACTCACTCACCATCCCCACTCACTCACTCACCATCCCCACTCACTCACTCACCATCCCCCTACTCACTCACTCACTCACCATCCCCTACTCACTCACCATCCCCACTCACTCACTCACCCACCCTACCACTCACTCATTTCTCTCACATCCACTCTCCCACCCACTCACTCACTCACTCACTCCCTCCCTCCCTCCTTCCCTCACTCACTCACTGTCTGACAACCTCAATCACACACTTACGCTGACATCAAGTTCCAGAGTCCCATTAGTGATGTTGGAGGATTTGAACACGTTGAGGAAGTACGCTGAGCGAGCCGACAAGATAGACCGGTGAGCCAAGAACATGTGGTTCTCTACCATAAGTTGGATGTCAAACCCAGGAACCCTTTCATACAAGCTGCAAGTGCAATATAGACAACAAACTCATCATCACTATAATCATAACACCTCATGGCGGCCACCACAACCATGGTTAAAATCAAACTGGAATATCATATATACACTGCCAGCTGGATGAACTATTTAATAATCAAAAACAGACTTCCACAGACGGCGGTCTGTAAATAATAAAGTCTGGATCGGACAATCCAGTGATCAACAGCATTAGCATCAATCTACATAATTAGGATACGATGAAATGAGTCAACCAAGCCAGCGAGCCTGACCACCCGATCCCGTTAGTCACCTCTTACGACAAGCGTGGGTTACTGAAGGCCAACTGGATGATATTGGACCATATTGGATGATAAATAGATTGTGAACCAAGTGATTCTTTTTATCAAATACATAAACCCTCATTATAAAATTATAAAATTTCTCAACAAATCTGGAACTTTCAGCAAAGTGTTGACATATTTGCAGAGATGCCAACCCTATTTTGGGCCTAAGTGTAATACTGGATGTCAAAAAGTGTAATTTGGACCTAAAAAGTGTAATTCTTGTCTGCCGATCGCTTCAACATGGTACACATTTTCACGAAAGGAAGATTCTAGATAGAAATACATGTGACCAATCATTATGAAGCTCCATACATCGAAAATTGTTGGTCATGTGACTCAAAATACTTTAATTCCTTGCAAGTTAATTGGAATAAGTGCGATGCTGAGAGTAAGCGATTCCTATCGGTGCCAGGCCATTTCTGCACCCCTGCAGCTGTACGTTACGAAATATTTCCCTGTGAAATTTTATCCACTTTATTGATTTTCGTAAAACGAGTAGAAAAGCGTAATTTTCGCAGATTAAGTGTAATGGCGTAATTTAAAGGTCAAAATCGTAAGGGTTGGCATCTCTGTATTTGATATCAAAAGCCACTCGGATCAGATTCTCTGTGTCAGTGCTCCATAAACCCAATTTTAAAAGTTCTTAAAGTTCAGTCTGTAAATAATCGAGTCTTGACAATCCAGTGATCAATAACATGAGCATTGATCTACACAACTGAGGTACAACACCTTCATAGGTTAGTTATTAAAGAAGGTTTCCAAAACATTACTGTAGTCAAAGGCCAATGGCCAAAATTACTTATCCAAAATGGATGTCAAAACAGACAACATTGTTTGATTAAAACACTTAAATATTACAAGATTGAGTGAGATATGATGGACAATGACAATTCATGTGAGCTCATAAAAACTCACCAGTCAAGGAAATAAGAGAACTCCTTTGCTTGGTCTCTGACCGGCACGACTGAGAGGCTGGTTTCATACTGCCGGAGGACATCGCGTATTCTCTGGTTGAGGGATGAGAGAAAACACCTCTGCCCATCTATACTTGTTGCATCATATCGGGCACCTGGGTAATAACAGCAAAACTCTTTAATTCAAACAACTTTATTAACTATCACCTGAAACGTTTTTGTTGTAGTCTTATCTCAAACTCAAACTATTTCAAAAGGATATTTCACAGGGACATCTAGTAAACATAGTTTCCCTTGATTGAGTTTGTTTAAACATGAGAGATTTTTCCAACAAGAATCTTTGATCATCAGTGAAAATGGTGGCATAAGTTTATTTCCCGTCCTGTCCCTTGTGGTCATGGAATTTACTTAAACACCAGTTAAACCAACTGAGTAATATGTCACAGCTCAGTAACCGCAGCTGGATCAAAGACAAGTCGAAATGATGATGGTTTGCAGGTTCAGAACTATTTTTTTCAAATTTGCTTGTGCTTGATTTGGGTTCTCAATATCACCAAAATTATTTACAGTGACTTTATACCATGTTTGTGATGGTCAGTTCAATATTATCATCACATTTTGTTACGGTTCAATAATTGCCATGACAAAAGGTTTAAGAGTCCCCTTTGAACCAGCAAAATATAACACAGACAAGTCTAAAATATTCAATAATATATTGAGCAAACAATGAGAAAGCTACAATGAATGACAATACAGATATTTAGTACAATGCAATTGAGTCACAAATCTAAAGTAATAGGTCACAAATATGAAATATTAACTCACTAGAGTCTTGAAATTTACAATGAGAGCAGATATACTAATCGAAGGTTGTTTACAATGAGAGCAGTCAGGCACAGTCTTGAACGTAGGTCTGACGATGGCATTGGCAGACGGGTGTACACAACTCCAGTGATATGAAAAGTCCCATGTAATTCCATGTGTGTTGTCCCACAATAACCAGCCTTTATATATATACTGACACCGAGTCTAGAACATTCTTTATCCACTGAGAACATTCACGAATCATGTTGAACATACGACCGGGAGTAAAAACAAAATAAAGCCAAGGGAGGCAACTCTGGAGTGCTATCATAAAGGCGTACTGCTCAAAAAATACTATTGCCATTGAACATACATGATGCAAGATGTGACCCACAACACACACTCAAAACTCTAAACATTGTGACCCAATAACAACTATCACTTAATCAATGATAATACAAATTACAAAAAACACACTCTCGTAACAATATTACAGTAAGAGGGATTTGTAGCTATGTAATAAGGTGAATTCTCAAAGTGCAACTTGCAGTAACAATGAGTTCGAAGAGGATCAATAACATCTTTGATGTTTGTGCAAGTCAAGTGTCTCTGCAACATGGATTCATCGAGTGAATATTGGTTGTTATGTAGGTGTATCTACTAAGGTTGCTGAAAAGGAAGAAACAAAAGTAGATATCAGAGTGGACACACAACACAGAGTGGATACACAACACAGAGCAGGTACACAACACAGAGTGGATACACAACACAGAGTGGATTCTCAAGGAGAACACAGCTGGTGCGTACAATTCCCTGCTTCAAGAACTGGAAGAAGATCAAAGGTCAATGAAGAACTTTCTCCATATCGACAAATTCCATTTGGAACAGACTGGCATGCTTCCCATTCTACAGGAATTCCTGGGATGAATGTTTATAAGCTGTTCAGTTTCTTTTCCGGTAAGATTAAGTGATGACTCTGACATGATGTGTCCACATGAACAACAGAACCACTCCGAGATCTAAGTAATTTGCCTGCTCAAGAACTTGCGATTTGTTGCAGGCCAAGACCTATGTGTTAGAATTTAGCTGCAATATGCGATTGAAAACTGTAACAACTTAGGCATCCATCTAGTTGTTGTTAAAAGTCGCACCATGAGAACACATCTTCAGGATCCAGTAGTGAGGTGAGGTGAAATTGGGTTTAACGTTGTGCTTGAGAATATTTTGCTCATATGACGGAATGCGTGCGTGTGTATGTGTATGTGCGGCTGCTTGTACTAGCCCAGACTGAAGCTGTAACATATGTTATATTTGGGATTACACTTTCTTAGTAAAGTACAAATTCTAGTACTTTTTGAGTTGAGCCCCATAGCATTGTGTAATCACAGACTGAAGCTGGTTTATAGTGCTAGCCCACTGAGATACCATGCCGCAGTGAAGCATGAATACCCCACTCAGACACATTATACTGACTCTGAGCCGACCAGTCCTTGTTGTACCCATTAATGCCGAGCGCCAGGCAAGGACCAACAAGTACCATATTTTAACGTCTTTTGGTATGACGCGATCGGGGATCGAACCCGCGACCTTCCGTTCTCCGGGCGAATGCTCTAACCACTACACCACGGAGGCGGTGGATCCAGTAGTGAGTGAATTACACAACTCTTACATCAATATCAGAAACTGACTTCACACATTGTAGCCATGTGAAGAATCAAACCCGGTGTAACAGGCCAAACTTCCCCCCTGGCCAAACCTTCCCTGGGAAACTTTAGTCTTCCCCGGGGAAATTTCAGCCTAGGCCAAACTTTCCCCCCCTAGGCTTAATCTTCCCCGGGGAAGGTTTGTCCTAGGCCAAACTTTCCCCACCCTTGAATCAACTTTAAAGGCTACTTCTTTCCCACCATTGTTTTTATATCAAAAGGGGGAGATTATGGCCAAGCTAGGCTATTTCTTCCCCAACCTTGTTTTCATGTTTATGTTCGTCTTGAAAAAGTCAGAAACGAAACCAATAATAGCAATTCACATGAACACATTGATAAGATATTCATGTTGATGTCAAGTTTCATTAACAATTTACAGGCCATTTACAAAAGCGAGCATAAAAGCAAAGATATTAAAGCATTACTATTGTTTTATATTATTATTTACTTATTTTCATATTTCAATAATTTACTTATCCCCACTTACTCCAAATTGTCTTATCTCAAAATCATTACTATATTCGAAACTTCAACTAAATACCCAGTTTTTACTTGGATGTCCATATCCATTCAAAATTTTATTCCCTCACTCATGGCTTTAAATATGGCATACATGTCGGCGACATCAACTTAACAGTTGGAAGCAGATGTAAACATCAACACAACAGCAACAACCCAACACAATATCTATATCAAAAGCTTTATCATTTATAATTCCACTATATTGCCTTATTCTATATTCAAAAGACAAGGTTTAATAAGGGGTATACTTGGCCCATGGATATCTGAATCATATTTCATTTACCAAAAGTGATTATGGATTAGTAAACAAGCTTATGTGAATAATGTTCCATTACATTTATATATAAATACAACAAATATGAGATAATAAACAGCATGATAAGAGAGCTAGCAACCTGTGTATATTACATCTTATTTACCCATCAAATGTGAGATTGAATGTTTACATCTTATGGTGACATGATTTGGACACATAAAGAACTAATGCAATGTGTCTTCATAGGAATAGCAACAGAAGCAGGATGGATTTAGAGATATATGCATTTGCCATTCAAACATGTATGCATTCAAATCACTACACCCAAGTCAGAGGCAAAAATGAACTATTTGGCAAAATTTGTGTACCAAAATATAGGTCAAAACTGTTGGCTTATAAAAGCAAGGGTGGGGAAGAAGTAGCCTAGGTAGGCCAGAATCACCCCACTTTTCATAAGAAACAGAACCAAATATCCTAGTTTAAACAGGGGGGAAAGTATGGCCTAGGGGGGGAAACTAGCCCAAACTTTCCCCAGGGTAAGAATATCCTATGACAAAACCTCCCTGGGGAGAATCTGGCCTAGGCTAGTTTAGACTGGGGAATTAATGGCCTGCTACACTGGGTCTTTAGCGTGATGAGCAAATGCTTTAACCAAAGGGCTACTCCACCACACCGAGACTCTAGTAAAATTTACATAGTACAGCTTTAATTCCATAACAAGCCATCCACAGCTCAGGTCCATAAATCGATTTATACCACTATGGTATGTTATGTCCATTGTTCTGGCAGGTTGATTTTCTGTGTATCAACCTTCTATCTGCAGGTGCAGAGGTTGATATGTGGATAACAACCTTGGCGGTGCAGGAAACGCACGTGCAACAAGCAATGTACGAGTCCATTCGGCACCCACGTGGTATAAGTAGGTTAGCACCACCCCCCTCTGCGGGTGATATGGATTCAACGCTCTCGCCCCACGGCTCGAGCGTTGAAATCCATATCACCCTTGAGGAGGGTGCTAACGTATATACGTACACACCTAAGATGGAGAATATCAGTCATAAGATCAGGGCTTACGATCTTGTCCCTGTTTGATGTGTGTGTATTTTGATTATTCGTCTGGACTACACAAGTGAGTAAGTGAGTGATTATGGTTTAACGTCGCTTATCGGAATATTCCAGCAATATCACGGCAGGGCACACCAGAAATGGGTTTCACATTTTGTACCCATCTGGGGAATCAAAGCCGGGCCTCCAGCACGATGACTGGATGCCCCACCACCCCTGGACTGCGTGGAGCACATGTGACATATATTTATACATACAAGGATCGAGGCATAAACTCAGTCCTGTGTGTTTTGATTACAATTTCTTAAGTATTCACTGATCTTGCATGATTTTTTATTGTTTTCACTATTCCCTCTGTACAAACCTTCAGCTTATGTTTGAGTTTGAAAGTTTGAATAACCTCATAACACTGTCCAGTCACTGTTTTTAAAAAGGTTGTGATTTACACTTGGACTAAGAAAGACACTGTGTGGTCTGTGAGTGAGTGAGTTTTGTTTTACGTCGCTTTTAGCAATATACCAGAAATATCAAGGCAATGGACACCAGAAATGGGCTTCAGTAGGGACTGTAAGAGTTACCTACCTTGCTTCAGTAAATATTCCACAACATCAACATGTCCACACAAGCACGCCAGATACCTGCAACAATAAACCTTAGCTCGTCATATCTGATAAAACAAACATTATCTTTGTGATTGTTTGTAGGATGGTTAACGCCTCACTCAGAAACATTGCAGCTATTACAGACAGTAATATGTAAAAGCTGGAGTCTGGCAAACCAGTGGCTGATGTCATGAACCATGTGTACTGATTCAATGACCAAGGTAACCAAAGTAACCAAGGTAACAAGTGAGTGAGCTTAGTTTTACGCCACTTTTAGTAATATTCCAGCAATATAATGGTGGGGGACACCAGAAATGGGCATCACATTATATCCATGTTGGGAATCAACCCAGGTCTTCAGCATTACAAGCGGACGCTTTAACCATCTGTCTACCCCACCAAGGTAACAAGCCTGACAAAATGACTGAGATAGTCGCCTTTTATGACATGTCAATCTACCAGGCTGAAATCTGTACTTTACCCACAGGCAGGACTGGGGCTTGGAGAGAAACAATCAGTGAGGAATATCACATTTGCTTTGATCTGACTGGCTTTTTCCCTCTGTATTCAATGTCAGACCAAACATGTAAAACTGTATCCTTGATAGCCCAGAGCATTTTATCTCCATTCCTCCGTGAAAAGTACTATGGACCTTTTCATACCTGGACCTTTTTAATTTGGGAGGCAGTATCACATAGTAATCTGTCTTATCAGCTCTATCTGAAAGCATTTGTCAGTAAGCTGATTACATGGCCATATTTGGCAACAATAGTAGACTGATCCATGGGGAATCATCAAGGATGTTACAAAAACTCCTTGAAAAAAAGTGCTTTTGAGCAGCTGAGCTAGATATTGGTGCTATACAGTTATTAGCATAATAGTGAGTGAGTTTAGTTTTACGCTGCACTCAGCAATATTCCAGCTATATGGTGTCGGTCTGTAAATAATCAAGTCTAGACCAGACAATGATCAACAGCATGAACATCGATCTAAGCAAATGGGAACCGATGACATGTGTCAACCAAGCCAGTGAGCCTGACCACCCAATCCCGTTAGTCGCCTCTTACGACAAGCATGGGTTACTGAAGGTTCATTCTAACCCGGACCTTCACGGGTCTATTAGCATAATAATAATAACAATAATCAGCCTCTTGCAAAGACAGACTATCATCATACTGTTTGCATCAAATAGGACTAATTATTAGGGCTGGCTAGAAAGATGAATAATCGAAAGTATCGTCGATGGGAAGGACTATTATTGATTATTAATATGAAAATTACTTAACTTTTGTGAAGAAATATTGTTTTAGCTTAAGGGACCATTCATATTTTATGGTGGGTGGTGTGTGTGTGTGTGTGTGTGTGTGGGGGATGATGATTTTTATGGAGAAGCAAGTACAATGTGAGAGACTCCCTAAAATTTATGTACAAAGTAAGTGACCCCCTGCATGTCTTGTACAAAATCAACGGAATCATCATCACCCCCCTAGCCATAAATTATGAATTGTCCCTTAAGCTAAAATAATATTTCATCCCATAAGCTGGGTAATTTTCACATCGATAATTGATAAACGGTCCCTAATATCACAGTAGACAAAGTTGGGTCATTACATATGGGCTGCTACTGAAGTACATTTAGGGAGTTGTTTTTGTGAGTAATCTATGCATAAATATGCCATGCACTATTCACCTATGATGTGAAATATGTTGATTTCTTTCAGAATATTTTCGCATTTTCCCTGAAAGTTCTATATTTATTGAAAATCGACCAATATTTAGTTGACAATTATCAATCTCAATGATTTATGTCAATCGCCAGCCCTTCTAATTATGTTCACTCACAATGGTGGGTTGTCCCATTCGTCTGTGATGTTTAAGTTCACGTGATTATCATCCACCAAGTTCCTGCAAAGAAACACAATATATAGCATGCGACGCTTAGATTCACACAGGGTTTTAGCCACAAAATTTAAGGCCTTTAAAGGCTCCACCGATACACACATTTCAGTTCTATCAAAGCAAACTCACCCCATGTCGAGAGACTGAATTGTGCCACACCATTCCGCTATTTGCATGTTTCTTTCTTTGTGTAAGCGTCAAATCCTACTTTTTGTGTTATTTTATGTTTGCTTCACTAGCTTGGTGTAGTCGCTTTTGAATAGGGCAGGGGAGGTCACTCTAATACAAGTATGTTTTCCATGTTTACTCAAGCTGAAGAGTGTGAGTGCCTAAAACTTTCATAAATTGATAGCCGCTATTTCCCTCATTGTTTAATGTATAATATATCTATCTTTCATTCACACAAGTTTAAGGCCGGTATTATTGTAAATATTTTTCCAAATTATCATTTTCTCTCAGCTGCATGGCATTTTCATCTATCCTGAACACCTGGGGAGGTGGGGTAGTCTAATGGTTAAATCGTTAGCTCATCACACCAAAGACCCTGGTTCGATTCCCCACATGGGCACAAAGTGTGATGCCCATTTCTGGTGTCCTCTGCCGCGATATTGATCGGATATTGCTAAAAGAGGCATAAAGCCCAACTCACTCACTCATGCACTCACTGATTCCAACAGCTACATCTTCCTACAGGGAGGGTTGCCAAATACTGATTCTAACTCGGATTTTCATAGGAGCAATTCGCACATGTAAATGTGGCTTTCCATAATGGAATAGCATCCAGAATGGGAGGGTTTTATTGGATGCTTTGTTGTTTTATGCCGCACAACACTCCTGCATATGAGAGCAGGAGTAATTCATCGAATCCAGACAATCCAGTGATAGATATCATAAATGACTCAGTGGTCGATGACACGCTATCATCAAAGTCACCTAGTCTGATCCTGGATTTGCTCATGTCTTACAAGATGCATTGCTTGACAGAGACCTATTCCAGCCAGAAAGGGAGATAACTAAGATTACTTTATAGGATTGACATTAATAGGGAAAATAACTGTTATTAAAACTTTAGCACTTTCATCATTGGTGCATATATTCACCTCACTCCCAAATCCTCCAAAGGAATTCATTGACAAATTAAACAATATATTTTATAAATTCATCTGGAATGATAAGCGGGATAAGATAAAGCGAACGACACTTATTAGAAAATATGAAGAGGGGGGACTCAGAATGGTTAATGTACAGGTATTCATAAACTCTTTAAAACTGTCAGTTTTACATAAATATCTTCAAAATAATAGCAATTCTATCCCTAGTATCTTTCCATTTAAAGATATATTTCTGCTTGGAGCCAATATTGAAAACTATGTCAGTATTATAAATCCCTATTGGAAAGATGTATTGGCTGCATGGGGAATATTCTATAAAACACATCAAACTGATTTTACAGATATTGATCAAATCTTATCTCAACCCCTTTGGTTCAATCACCAATTCCAAAATAGTAATTTCATTATAAGACATTGGCATCTCAAAGGTATTCACTCTATATAAGAGACTTGTGTAATGATCAAGGTATTTTGCCATTTAGTGAACTTAAGAAAACTTACAAAATTAAAGGCACAATTCTTGACTATTACCAGGTTCTTTCAAATATACCCCAAAAATGGAAAGAAACTATAAGAAAGAATTTATTGATTGTTCATAATCATTATCTTAACACATCACTGATAGATTTACTTTCAGCACCAAACAGATCCAGATATTTCTATGACAAACTTATAACTACTGAAAACCTACCATCAACATGTGAAAAATGGCAAAATATCTTTGATATTGCAATTCCATGGCAAGATATTTTAGAAAATATAGAAGATGTACAAAAGATACCAAATTGATTGACTTCCAGTTTAAATTTATCCACAATATTGTCTACACAAAGAAAGAATTATTGAGAATGAAATTAGTAGATGATGAACTTTGCTCATTTTGTAATTTAATGTCAGAAAATTTGATACATGTTTATTGGGAATGTGAATGTGTGAAAACGTTCTGGCTGAAAGTGAAAGAATATATTGAAGATAAATCATCAGAAACTTTTACCCTTACAAAATATACAGTCTTAATTGGCGGATATAATAACGACCTTATGAATCACATACTTCTTGCCAGTAAAAATATATCCATATATCAAGTATTAAAAAAATAAATTATCACTGGATACATTTGTAAAAATATTGAGTGATATCTTCAAGACAGAAAAGTTTATTGCCAGTAAGAATCAAAACATATTACAATTTGACAGAAAATGGTCATCTCTACTGCACACATTCCCAGCCTAATGAAGATCCCAATATGTGTAATGCCAACCCATATGAATTTCTCTCCTACGGTGTACAAGTGTTGTTGCATCATGTGCTTTGTATACATGTATCTACTGATTTTGAATGAAAAAAAAAAAAAAAAAAAAAAAAAAAAAAAAAAAAGATTACTTGAAGACAATAACTCTGTATCTGTAGTGCCAGACCAAATGCATGTACACTATAAGCAAATTGTGGTTCGTTTTCAAAGTATTTTAAAGATTTCAAACCATGAAAGCCTTTTTTCTTTTTGAGGATACCTAGACTAGTAAGGTATTGAATAGATAAAGTTGCTTCCAAAGTTTCTCTACGACAGAATCTTAATTCAAGGAATTTCACAGCTGTGGGTAGCTTGAGATGAATCAAACCTTAAATTTCCAATAGGCATTGTCTGAATAGTGAATTTGTGAAAGTGAACACCGGTGGCAAGAGCATCAAAACATGTTAGCTTCCTGTGAAAAAAGACCGCAAATTGATGCAAGTTTGAAATGCAAAAGACTTGATTTCAAAGTACCAGTAGAAGCTAAACAAGGAAATCTTTCTGACATTACTAAGGGAAGTAACTCTGCACATCAAGTCGCTGTGCCTAAGCCAGCTGTTCGTAATTTTGCTGCCCCTACAACACTAAACATATCCGGTACAACTGTTACTTGTTGATTCCCAACCTGAAACTACCAGTTAACTGAAACTTTGTAAAATAGCTGACTGTGAAACAAATCAACATCAAAGAAATGTAATATATAGTCCGTTTGACTTCATTTGAGACCGATGAATTACTCACTAACACAAAATCTAATAAATGCAACAAAAACAAATTTTGCACAGTCACATGAAATCAACAGACCAACTCTGATGATTTGTCTCATAATTTTGGACACTTGAATTAAAATGTTGTTTAACAAACGATCATTATTTTGTTGTTACACTTTTCGCTATCTTACGAGGGAGGACCACTTGCTAATAGAACAGCCAGATGTGCGAGTTGTACCTGTGAAATTGAAATTCACTGCAACTGCTTGTTGATTACATGGCTGTTCTACCAGTAGGTGGTGCCCCCTTGTAAGAAATAGCGAAAAGTGACAACAAAATAATGATAGTTTGTTAAACAACATTTTTTATTTGGTTTTGTTGCATTTATTAGATTTTGATTTAGTGAGTAATTCATCGGTCTCAAATGAAATCAAACAGACTGTTATTAACAATTGTATTCTAAATTAACTATGATTACAAATCAACACACCACTAGTCACTACAGAAATGAAGTAATCCACTTGAAACACTGAGTAACAGAGAGTGTTGTTATACTATTGGGTTCTTGACATTTTTAATGTATGTGTAGAAAAGCAAACTGAATTAGTCCTAAGTGGGGAGTTTCATATGGCAGATATCCAGAGCTCTGTATTGCTTGACAGTAAGATCATTTCGGAATTAAACATTAAATCTATAAAGAAAACAATTTCATGAAACAACTTACCTTAATTTGTTTAAGTCGCCAGTTCTGCAACACAGGAAAATATCTTTCTGTTTTTCAAATGTTCCCCTTGGTGCATGTTTTGCCATTCCAACCTTGCTGTGAAGTTCCACCAAACCAAACAAGGCGCCGATGGTCTGGAATTGAAGAATTACTATCTGGAATCAGTGTTATTAGACATGTTTGATAACAGTAGACTTCCAAGACACAAATAACTGTTCTTACTAATCTATACTGAATACACCTTGTCGTAAAGTACCTGTGTAAAAAAGAACGACCTTCCTTCAAAAGATTAACCGCCAATACGTTGATTAATTGCTCATTATTGGCTAACTAAATTACTTTTTTAAAGAATGGCAGACATCATGCAATTAGTTGCCAGGTGTGCTATCTTGGGTGACCACTGAGATTATAGTGACTGACTGAGTTAAGTTTTACGCCACTTTTAGCAATATTCCAGCAATATCACAGCCGGGGACACCAGAAATGGGCTTCACACATTGTGCCCATGTGGGGAATCGAACCCGGGTCTTCGGCATGACGAGCGAATGCTTTAACCACTAGGCTACCCCACTACCCCACTGAGATTATACACCAATGTGAAAAACCTGTAACGATATATCACTTTTTTGCACATTAGACTGTTAAAAGACACGACATGGAACAGAAGATGAATAGAATATCGTTCCTTTATGTGGATATTGATAGATACATTCCTTGAACAAGGTAATAGCTTGACAGTGTTGCTATAACTTTAGTCTTTTAATTTTAATATTTGCATTTTGCTTTTATTCATTTGTGGTAGCATTCAACAGAATTTTTTCGCCGTGAAGCGTAATGAGAGACATTATACACTAGGTCGCACTTAGGGCGTTTGTGAAATATGATTCACACTGGCAATCTATAAAATGTCTATAGATTACAGTCATGTTATAAATTCACTGTAAGTATAAGCAGATCGTATGCGTTATATTAAGTTTCAAAATGCATACAAATAAGATAATAAACTAATTAGGATTATAAGACAAAATATACAGATGTACATTGACTACATTATTTTTCGGCCTTAACATTTTTTCCACTGGCAGATGGTTCAACTTCGAAAAAATTACATGAAAATGAAGATGGAAATATTATCGAGTAAAAAAGATTTAATATTTGTTGATCAATCCGATACTTGCACTATTAATTGTGCATGCAGTTGGTGCAGCAGAGGTCAGGAACCAGTCAAGAATTCTGTGATATCATTCGGGTACTCACGGTGAGAAAAACAATAACAAAAGCAACAACCAGTCACAAAAATTGCTCTGGATCAGTGCCCCTTTAACCCTGAAAAGCTGCAGGTCCTAAGGACCCAGAACCATAAAAAAAATTGTGGGTCCTGATCAGAATGTGTAGGCCCTATATTTTCATATGGAAATAATACTCTTAGTTATTGAGGATAAAAAAGCTGTTGGTCATAAGGACCTGCAGAAAACAAAAGTTGTAGGTTCGAGTGGTTTTCAATCTGCTTTGGGACTGAGGACCGACGTTAAAGGAGAATACTAGTGTCAACCAAGTCGGCGACAGTGACCACCTGATCCCAGTAGTCGTCGCTTTCGACAAACATGAGTTGCTGTTGACCTAATCTAACCCTGATCTTCAGGGGTCCTCTGCTTACTATAGGTACAATATTACCTTTTCATTAAACATAGGGGTAGATGTACTTATACCAGCACCATTATACATATTTTCTGTGCATGATCGGAAGGAAGCTTAAGGTTTGGGTTGGGGTTAGCAGGGTTAGGGTTCTCCAGCTAACATCACATAACTGGGCCAGTACTGGCATCGTTCTGGCCTGTACCATTGGTACTGGCAAATGTACGACAGTATAGACCCAGTACTGGACCAATGCTTGTTTTCCGTTAAAACTGGCAAAACTGTACTGGGCCACATATGGGTGGTTACCGTAAATACTGCACCTCAATACTGTAACGGCCAAGTACTGGCCCAGTGCAGACAGTGCCCTTCCTGTCTGGTGAATTGTGGGGGATTACCTCAGGACCATGCTGTCTGCTCAAGAGAGGTGGCCAAAAGGTAGAGTGTGATATGTTCCACATTTCTGAATATAGATTGACTTAGTGTGACACTTAAAAATAACGGTATTTGTTGTGAATCACTTATAGAGACTACTTTTTCAACTAAGGTTAAGTGTTGGCCTAAATTTTGAACAACAACATGCAGTATGAATTTCGCTGGGACAAGGGCATTTTGAAACATTCATGTATGTATGTCATGTTGTTAGATCATGGAAAACCTGTTGAAAAACATAAATTCAATGTATGGCCTAGATTATAGCATTGTTTGATAATCATGTCATAAACTGGACAAAACATTGGAAAGATTGAATAGTAAATGAAAATTTGAATTGAATTTTGAAACTTTTGTTGAACAGGCTCATCAAGAAGGACAACGGACTCTGGATCAATGAAGGAATGACGCATCCATGTTTTCATCTTGTTTTATGAATTAGATTCATTTGTACAAACTTGTGTTTTCTTGTTGTTGTGTTTTTCTTCTTGTGTGTGTTTTAAATAGTAGAAACTGTATTCAACTTAACTGGGCCAGTGCCGGCCAATCTGTAAAGGGCCAATTTGCAACCATTACGGCTGTGTACTGGTCCAGTTCAACGCCAATGTGCAAAATAGTACAGTACAGTCACAGTTCTTGAATGCCTTCAATGGGCCTGATTTTCTGACTTTACTTGACCAGTAATGGCCCAGTGGAAAGAGTTCCGCCCGTAACCCCCGTTTTTTTATTAATTAGTGCCTAAGAATAGATGATTTTTTATAGGAAGCTTACCCAATCCCTGGCCCTAAACCTAACCATAAACCTAACATAATGCTAAATCTAGACCCTAAAATTAAACCCTAACCCATAGAAATAACAATAATAAATAGTATACATTTCAAGCAGGGGTTACGGGCAGAACTCTTACCGGCCCAGTTACATGATGTTAGCTGGGGTTAGGGTTAGACAATATACAACAAACGGAAGTACCTACAACAATGGTACCGTATAAGTGAAGTGCTCCAAACATAGCAAAATGTACTACATCATTACAACATAATACATGATTACAACGATGACAGCCTGCTACAACATTATAACAATGACTACATGTGCTACACCATTACAACAATGACAACATGCTACACCATTACAACAATTACAAAATGCTACATCATTACAACAATGACAACATGCTACACCATTACAACAATGACAACATGCTACACTATTACAACAATGACAACATGCTACACCATTACCACAATGACAACATGCTACACCAGTACAACAATGGCAACATGCTACACCATCACAACAATGTCAACATGCTACACCATTACCACAATGACAACATGCTACACTATTACAACAAAGACAACATGTTACACCATTACCACAATGTCAACATGCTACACCATTACCACAATGGCAACATGCTACACCAGTACAACAATGGCAACATGCTACACCATCACAACAATGACAATATGCTACACCATTACCACAATGTCAACATGCTACACCATTACCACAATGACAACATGCTACACCAGTACAACAAAGACAACATGCTACACCATCACAACAATGTCAACATGCTACACCATTACCACAATGTCAACATGCTACACCATTACCACAATGACAACATGCTACACCAGTACAACAAAGACAACATGCTACACCATTACCACAATGTCAACATGCTACACCATTACCACAATGGCAACATGCTACACCATCACAACAATGTCAACATGCTACACCATTACCACAATGACAACATGCTACACCAGTACAACAAAGACAACATGCTACACCATCACAACAATGTCAACATGCTACACCATTACCACAATGACTACATGCTACACCATTACAACAATGACTACATGCTACACCATCACAACAATGACAACATGCTACACCATTACCACAATGACAACATGCTACACCATTACAACAATGACAACATGCTACACCAGTACAACAATGACTACATGCTACACCATTACAACAAAGACAACATGCTACACTATTACAACAATGACAACATGCTACACCATTACAACAATGACAACATGCTACACCATTACAACAATGACAACATGCTACACCATTACAACAATGACAACATGCTACACCATTACAACAATGACAACATGCTACACCATTACAACAATGACAACATGCTACACCATTACAACAATGACAACATGCTACACCATTACAACAATGACAACATGCTACACCATTACAACAATGACAACATGTGCAACATCATTACAACACATTACAACAATGACACATGCTACACCATTACAACAATGACAACATGCTACACCATTACAACAAAGACAACATGCTACACCATTACAACAATGACAACATGCTACACCATTACAACAATGACAACATGCTACACCATTACAACAATGACAACATGCTACACCATTACAACAATGACTACATGCTACACCATTACAACAATGACAACATGCTACACCATTATAACAATGACAACATGCTACACCAGTACAACAATGACAACATGCTACACCAGTACAACAATGACAACATGCTACACCATTATAACAATGACTACATGTGCAACATCATTACATGTTACATTACTGCGTAATTTGCAACAATGTCAACAATGGGAGGTCTGATATTCCTGAAGCTTACCTGAATATCAGATTTTATACCACCCATACCTTGTCAATTATATCTATTTTGATAAGCTTTCGTTCAGGACCGACTACAGTAAATATAAAACTTTTCTTTACCGATGACGTCACTTTCAAGATGCATACCCGAGTACCGCCCCGAAGGATTTTGTTCTGACAGTACTGGCGATTTGCCCGCTGACAGGTGTCATCAACTCATCGTGTTTTGATGCTTGTCGTCTGTGTATACAATGTAATAAACAAGAAAATCGGTTACTCACCAGTACAAATGAAATGTAGAACTCGAACACAAGTCATGAAAGGCTGTCGCTTCCTGAAACTAAGCTCCTCACACCGACAGTTCTGAAATACAATCCGGTAAGGAGTTTGGGGTTACCACAACAAAAGGGAGATAATACTTGAGTCACTAAAACGCTCAGCTTGGTCGATAGTGTTTAGCAAATTAATTCATTTTCGAAACCCGTTCATACAAATACAATATGAGTGTTATATCTATTTGTGAAAACTGATTTGTGTGTGTGTGCTATTTTACTCTAGCGAGCTAGCATTTGTATATTATTGAATGCGCATCTAAGTGGATTTCACCATTATTGTCTTAAAATGGCGAGACCACGTGGGTCCCCTCGTTAATTAGAACTGGACACTGTGACGTATGGCGGAGCGGGTGGTCAGGCTCGGAGACATGAGTGTCAGTCGTCCTGTATGTAACTGGATGTAGGCCTTGGCTGGAATACGAATATATATTTATAAATATGAACTCGGTTGCCAGCGTATTGTGGTTCATAATATCAACTACTGGATGAGCTGGTACCGACTCTGTTATGTGCAGGCATCTTTCCTATAGCTGGAGTCCACATTACTGAATTACTGGATTAATTCACACCCATACGGACACGCACACATGGACGGAAACACACACACGCACTCTCTCGCTCACACTCATACACACCACTGACACTCTATCCATCTATATCACACACTTGTAAGGCTGAGAAATATCACGACTTCTTCTGTCTTCTCTTGCTTTGTGAAATAATATATTAAACATCATTTATCGTAGTTTATATTCGTTGTCGGCACAGGTACTACAGATACGTACCCCAGGTACCCTAAAAGGCGGACGAGTCCATATTCCGCAATCAAAAACCGAAACCGTATGTAGTTGTTCCCGTTCAACTGATTCCGAGTGGTATTCAAGTGCATCGCGAAATATCCGTTACTCGGGCTGTGTATTCTCATTACTTACATAACGCAATGAAATGTATCTAATACAACAGCATGACAGTTCCAGTCAAGAATACGACACAATATGGGAATGGAATCATCATGGTGTCATCAAGTTTGTACACATCTACTTCACGGGGTTGCGGGGTTAACAGGGGGTTGTTATCAGTTGTACATAAATAATATTTGAAAATCATGCATAAAAATTATGGGAAGAGGGCGGGGAGGCTATTGATCTGTACATCATATGCAGGGGAGTTCACTTTCTCAGTACGTATTAGTTGACATTGTACATGCTTCTCCATAAAAATCAGCATCACCCCCACCCCCCTATAGGCATAAATTATTACCGGTCCCTAAACATCACAGTAAGTAACATGGCTAAATTTTCAGGAACTCTCAGTTTAATTCATGGCAAATTCCTGAGAAGCATATGTTTCAATCTGCCAAATTCAAAAAACGTAACTTCCACGGCGGAGTAACTACCTACTATGGAACTGACGATGACCTCCGCGCTTAAGCATTATACTGTAGCCTGTTCTCTACCTAGTCGGACATTTCCAGGTATTTATTGCAGGCAAGTATATGATCTTGTAAAATGCAATACACCAGCGACCAGAATGAATCACATTGCTTCTTCGGATTGTGTCCTAAGCACCTTGCACCATTTCTCACATGGGTACAATGCGTGAAGCCCATTTCTGCAGCTGGTGTCTCCATTGCTGGAATACTGCTAAAAGCTGCGTAAAACCAAACTCACTCGCTCCTCGTTGAGCCATGTAGCCCGCCACCCATGTCCGCAATATATACTCAGAGGCAAATGTTATTTAACATGATTTTTAAATATTTTGTAATTGTCAACCGAAGACGTTTTGTATTTGAACCACAGAAAGTATGTGTTGAAATGGTCGAAGAAACGCAGCCAATCAGTTGCACGAAATTGCAGGCGACACTTGCGATAGGAGCCGGGCGTGGAGAAAACTCGTTTCCGTCTCCGTCCGCGTGTTGACGGCAGGACACTTGTCTACAGACACAAGGGTGAATGTTGTATCAGACCGTGTGTTCTGGAAGGGGCTTGTTTTGGAGGCGAGAGAGTTATGATCTGGCCTGGGGTAACACCTGCAGCAGTTTGATTAAGGGGAAGTTCAATGTGGTGAAGTACCCAGACGAGATTTTGCAAATGGCCGCTTTAGCGTGTTTGCAAAAGAACGGCTTTGGGGTGACGTTTCTAAGCGGTGGGGTAGCCTAGTGGTTAAAGTGTTCGCTCGTCACGCGGAAAACACGGGTTCGATTTCCACATGAGTATAATGTGTGAAGCCCATTTCTGGTGTCCCCCGCCTTGATATTGCTGGAATACTGCTAAAGGCAGCATAAAACTAAACTCACTCACTATCGATGTTCCGTGGCCTCAATGAAGGGATGATACCAGACCTGCATGAATGCACAAAGTGGACACACGCTACTGACCATACGAAGGTACTTGTGAATCCCCTGTTGTGTGGGCGGTGGGGTAGAATAGTGGTTAGCGGCGTTCGCTCGTCATGCTGAAGTCCCAGGATCGATTCCCCACATGGGCACAGTGTGTGAAAACCATTTCTGGTGTCCCCGCCTTGAAATTGCTGGAATATTGCTAAACGCGGCGTAAAACCAAACTCACTCAGTGTTATGTTGTATCTGATTACCAGGTTGTTTCAGGTGGAATGTTGACATTCCTTTCAAGTAAAATATTTCAATCTCGACAATAACAGATTATCACTAAGTGTGTTTGTTGCTTGTTAGTCTCAATACCTTTTTGCCTTGAGTGAGTGAGTGAGTGAGTTAGGTTTTACACAGTTTTTAGCAATATTTCAGCAATATCAGGGCGGGGGACACCAGGAATGGGCTTCACACATTGTACCCTTGTGGGGAATCGAAACCGGGGGCATCCGGAGTAGGGTGAGAAAGCTTTTTAAAACCACTGGGCTACCCCATCGCCCCTTTTTTCGCCTTTGAGTAAACGTAGGTGGCAGAAGTTCTGTATAGTAGCGTTTTCCAAGTCTCAATGAAATGAAGGAAAACGAATGTTCAGTATAGGAAAGTCACTGTTTGACGACCTTAAAACTTGTTGAGGGTGTGAACAAGTTTGCCCTCTTCTGTCATGTCATCTTGTTTTTAATCTTTAACCCGTGGCTGATCAATCTTAGGCCATATAAAAATAATTTCGTGTTTCTCATTACCGCCCGATCCTAAATTTATTTTTACTTTGTTTGCACTGGTAAATTAGCGTGTAAAAAAACGGAAGACTTCCGAAATCCGTCTCAGCTTCCGGCATTCCAAGATTTCAACAAACATTGTATAGCAAATCAGAAAAAAAATATTAAAAAAAAAAATAAAATCCGCCCTACCTACCCATTTTAAAAAAAGTGATGAGAAACAAGAACTATATTTTAGGCGGCCTTATACTCAATCTCTCTGACATAAAAAAGAAAAGATTGTGCCAGCTGGTAAATTCAAGGCCACAATTTTTCAATTTGGCAAATTTTCCCATGCTTTTTCAGTTTCTTATCAACCCTATCCTCTCTTTCCACAAGGTACTCGACCGTGAAGGTCCGGGTTTAGAATATTGATGCTTGTCGTAAGAGGCGACTAACGGGATGGGGTGGTCAGGCTCGCTGACTTGGTTGACACATGTCATCGGTTCCCAATTGCGCAGATCGATGCTCATGCTGTTGATCACTTGATTGTCTGGTCCAGACTCGATTATTTACAGACCGCCACCATATAGCTGGAATATTGCTGAGTGCGGCGTAAAACTAAACTCACTCACTCGTAATGTCAATCAGGGGTTGTGGGCATGGTTGATGGGAGTCATCATTTCAACTTTGGATAAATTGATGCTAATAGTGTCAATCACTGGATTGTCTGTTCCAGAGTTGGTTATATATTTACATACTGACTTTATACATCTGAAATATAGCTGGAATACTGCGGAGTGCGGCGTAAAACTAATCTCACTCACTCACTCACAAAGTATTCTTTTCATGTCCTCTCGATATTGATCAGATAAACACGAGCCCACATTTATAATAGCCGGCGTTTTGACAAACAACCGCTTCATGCTACAGACAGACTGTTTTCAAATTGTGCTCAGTTCTGACATGACATGACATGACATAACATGGTGGTAACATGGCGGTAGGATATGCAATGTATGCCTCGGAAGGGGAGGGGACGCTTTGATGTGATGTTGAGCCAATTGCATAAATGGATGCTCATGCTGTTGATCACTGGATTGTCTGATCCGGACTCGTTGTTTTACAGACCGCTGCCATAGAGCTGAAATATTGCCGAGTGCGGCGTTAAACAACAACCAGCCAACCCTATATATGTTGGGCATATTCTGACACAGGTAGAACGTAATGAACGTCTATGCTTGGCACAGTTGCACCTGCAGATGGCTAAACGTCCTGCAAAATGTGGGTATAGACGTCATGGAGTGGCCATCGAGATCATCTGACCTCAGTCCCATCGAACACGTATTGTATGCTCTCAGAAGAAGTCTTCGTGCCTTGAGCCGTCAACCCCAGAATGTTCAAGAAGTGGGCACCATGTTGGTACAGCAATGGCGCAGGTTGCCTAATGCTGTGTTCACGGGTGTTTAGCAGTCAATGAGACAACGTTGCTTTGCTGTTGTAAATGCGAGAAGGGAGTACTGAGCAAGCTCCGGTACAGATGGCTAGTCCGTGTGAAATCAAAAAGTGACCCACGTGGTACTGTCGACTGTGGAAGGTGCACCAAGAGTACCTTAATCTGAGCATGCCTACAGATACCTTCTCTGTTTTATATCAGGCCATAATGATTTTTGAGTTTCTTTCAGCATGCCTACGGATGCCTTCTCTGTTTCATATCAGGCCATATTGATTTTGAAGTTTCTTTGAGCATGCCTACGGATACCTCCTCTGTTTTATATCAGGCCATATTGATTTTGAAGTTTCTTTGAGCATGCCTACGGATACCTCCTCTGTTTTATATCAGGCCATATTGATTTTGAAGTTTCTTTGAGCAATCCTAAGGATGCCTTCTCTGTTTTATATCAGACCATGTTGATTTTGAAGTTTCTTTGAGCATGCCAACAGAACCTTACTTGACGTTACAGGGCAGGAGTACCGTGGGATGGAGTACCGTGTCCAGAACTAGACCAACCTAGTGATGGACTCAACCTGTCTGTTCGTGCCTTGAGACCAGGTGACGCTTGACACTGGGCCTTTGGACGTTGATCCGGCCTGAACCATTCCATTGGCAATGCCTCTCTGAAGTTCAGTTAATCGAGCCATATTTCTGCCCTTTCGTCGAAGTCGTGTGTGAAATGCTTGGTGCTTTTTTCATTTATTCGTCCAGTGGGCCCAGCCTTGTGTTTGACCGGTCAAGATTACATAACAGTGTCACGTACGGATAGGGGAAGATGCCCGAACTTTTACAGGTGATAAGCGCGGCAAAAAACGTCAAAGGAACCGACTGAGTCCTGCCATGTGTTCAAACTGCATGTTGGGAACGGTGTTTCTTCAATGTCTGTCTTTACGTTAACTTTGTATAGATTTTTCGACTATTATTTTGTTCAGGTCACAAAACAAAACAAATTGACTTGTTTTACTAATACTGTTAGATATATTTGTATTTAGTCTTTCCTATGCGCCTAACAGTATAATCCAGACTAAATGTGTATTTGACCCGTGAAGAAGTGAAGAATAGGGTTACAGTTGGGCTTCAGCACCCCATGCTTCTTGTAAGAGGCCACTAACGCCAACGGGTGGTCAAGCTCACTGATCTGGTTGACCCACAATTTGGTAGTTATGTTGTTTGAAGCAGAGTTGCAGAATTTGACTTTTTTATTTCTTGGAGGGGTGGGGTGGGGGCCTTTGGTGGTGGGGGCTTTGGAGGCAGGGAGGGAACATTTTGACCTTTGTTGGACCTCTTTGCCTTGAAGATGGCGACCATGTTCTTAAATTCACTCAAAAACATTTCCTGGGACTGTAAACATCATTTCCTGTCATTGTAAACTGTTCCCTCTCACAATTTAATCACTGTCTTGTACTGTAAACCTCTCTCGTCATAGTAAGAATCATTTGCACTCAAACACATTGTTATAAACAATTCTGGGATAGAACCGCTGGGAAGAATTGGGTTAGAATTGATCTCCAGTAACCCTTGCTTGTCGTAATTAAGAGGCATCGGGATCAGATGCTCAGACTCGCTGACTTGGTTGACACACGTCATCGTATCCGAATTGTGTAGATCTATCAATGCTCATGCTGTTGATCACTGGATTGCCTGGTCCAGACTCGATTATTTACAGACCGCCGCCATATAACTGCATGGAATATTGCTGAGTGCGGTGTTAACCATGCAGCAAACCAACAAAACTAAATGTGGCTTTATGCTACGCACACATCTGCCATTGTGAAAGAATAAACACAAATAGACAATTAAACGAGAATGGCTGTTCGCTAGAGCTGCGTTGTGTAAGTCTTAAAACCAGCGTGCATTTTATAATCGGTGGTAGGGCTTCCACGGGTACTCGAGTACTCGAGGACGAGTCGGGTTTAGCTGGACTCGAGTGCATTTTAAAGGGGGGGGGGGGGTAACTCGAATTATTGACGTTGACGGACTGTCTACCATGTGCTAAGCATGAGCGGCCGTTAACGTCTAATATTAAGAAAAAAGATATAACTTTATTATCCCGGAGGAAATTCTTATACATCCAAACTGTCTCAAAATAAATATACACACAGTTCACAAAAATATACACAATAATTACATGCTCAAAACGAATGCTATTTACAAATAAAACTGACATGATATAATTCAATTAACCACATAGGTAAAGAGGCTGAATAATTCGAGTTCTAATCACATGATGGTGATCAAAATATTTGTTGCATTCACGAATACTTGATGGTATGAAAGACTGTCGAGCTCTGTTTTCAGGGAAGGTAATCGACAGCAGCCTCCAGAAGGAAGTAGTTCAAAATGGTGAGATCAAATATGTCAACTATCAAATCTAATTTTAGCTGTCTTTTTGACTATACTCGAAATACACTCAAGAAATTTTGCAAGCAGTATTAACAATTTTGAAAAGTCTGTTTTTGTTAAGATGAGACAGATCCCCATACCAACATAGAAAATTGTAGGTCAACACACTTTAAATAAAGGTTTGATAAAAAACTGTCATTACGGTTTTGTCAATGCCTTGACGATAATAATGTTCAGAATCAGAAATTAGGCCAGTAACAGTGGCGTCATCTGCAAATTTCACAGTAAACAAGTCATATATTGACAGTCATTGGTATACAAAACGAAGAGTACGGATGAAGGAACACAGCCATGTGGATCTCCAGTAGAGGTTGAGAGAAAAGAAGATTGATAGCCATTGACACTGACATACTGAGTTTTATGTACCCTGAATTCTTTAACCCATCTGATAATGTTTTTATTAACACCTAGATTAAATAGTTTACTCATCACACGGTGTGGCTGTATGGTATTAGTTGTTACAAGTCTGCAGATGAGAGTAAATATTATACATCGATTGAGATTTCACTTCTTAAAATGATTAGGTAACTATCTTGAAAATTGATCGTTTGCTTGAAAGGTATGAATTTCGAGTACTCGGGTCCGAGTCGAATCTCGCCCCTCGAGTACTCGAGTCCAAAAAAATGGACTCGTTGAAGCCCTAATCGGTGGCGTGGTGCAAGAATGTTTTGTCAGGCACAGAAAGAACGGTGCACTAAGGTTTTTTGTGGCGGGTGTATAAAGAATTTTTCGCCAGCTCTGAACTTCAATCCTCAAGCCCCGGGTGTATATTCGCAGTATTGTATCAGGATCCCGCGAACCAATCGTATTTCGTCTTTCTGATATGGAGGTTGGTTAAACGTTTTATCTATGCTATGCTCGCCATGAGCCCAGTCGAGTGGTTGCCTGGTCACGATTACGTCATAGTGCCATATATGGAACAAGGGTTTCCGGGAAATCCTCAATCGGGTTCTCAGAACATTAATTACCATATCAATGCATATACAGACCAATAGCTATCACTGCTCTCAGTGCAGGGGATACAAACAAACTTCCACGAAGCAATATCGACTTTTCAATCATATTACCTGAGCCTTTTCAATGCACAAACCGCGGCGATAGGTGAAACTAGGTCACGTGAAGACACGTTTACATTCAGATGTGGTTCACTAAGTTTCTGTGCTCGACCCTTGCCTTAAACAGCAGAAGTTTCCAGGTAAACTGAAATACATGCCATCGCTCTGGATTTGGAAGTGAGCCATTTGGCTATCGCGACCTGACAGTTCCAGGAACAACACTCAGTGCACCAGAGACGTTTGGGCTCGCCTCGTCGTCAATGTTGTGATCGACTTTTCACTGTCGTCAGTGTTTGTTGAAGTTGTCACGAGCAGATATAGTTTGGGTAAGTTTTCCAGCAATGACACGCGTGCTAATTAACACAGACCGCACGTGAAATTATTCATGTGCATTGTGGAAATGGTTTTCAGCAACCCACGTTAAATGTAGGTGGTGACTGGCGAGATGGGGGGTAACTTGTAACTGATACTGCGGATTTGTATATTTATTTATTTCACTGTGCTGTGCTCAATAATGCATATTGATCAGTTTAGTGCATTGATGCTCGTAATGTCAAACCCGTGAAGGTCCGGGTTATAACATTGATCTTCCGTAACCCATGCTTGTCGTAAGAGGCGACTGACGGGATGGGGTGGTCAGGCTCGCTGACTTGGTTGACACATGTCATCGGTTCCCAATTGCGCAGATCGATGCCCATGCTGTTGATCACTGGATTGTCTGGTCCAGGCTCGATTATTTACAGACTGCCACCTCATGGCTGGAATATTACTGATTGCGCGGTAAAACTCACTCACTCACTTGTAATGTCAATGAGGGGTTGCTGGCATGGTTGATGGGAGTCATCATTTCTACTTTGGATAACTTGATGCTAATATTGTCAATCACTGGATTGTCTGTTCCAGAGTTGGTTAATTATTTACATACTGACTTCATACAGCTGAAATATTACTGGTGATAGGGGGTGGGGGGTAGCTCAGTGGTTAAAGTGTTCGCTCGTGACACCGAAGACCTGGGTTCCATTCCCAACTTGGGTACTATGTGTGAAGCCCATTTGTTGTGTCACCTGCTGTGATATTGCTGAAACAGTGCTGCTTAAAATAAAAACTCACTCACTGGTTTCATTTGTTGATTATCTCCCCTTGGTAGAGATCGAGTGCCGAGGTTGATCTGGGATTATGGGTTGGATGGGGTGGCTGTCAGGGGAGCGTATCCAAAAGTATTTCAAGTATCTTCTGGGGTCTTTGTCATTTGTCATTGCGTCAACTGACCGCATTGTCTCAACTGACATCATTGTCTCAACTGACCCCATTGTCTCAACTGACATCATTGTTTGAACTGGCCCCATTGTCTAAACTGACCCCATTGTCAGAACAGTGATCACTGACAATGTTGAAAAATTATATGTATGCAACTGTTAAAAATGTTTTAGTTGGATCTGTGTTAAGGTTGTCAGTGTCCCAGAGACTAATCACTGATCTTGGGGTGTAGTATGTTGATTATTGCTCACTTTAATAGAGTGAGTGAGTGAGTGAGTGAGGTTTTATGCTGCTTTTAGCAATATTCAAGCAATATCAGGGCATGTGACACCAGAAATGGGCTTCACACATTGTGCCCATGTGGGGAATCAAACCCAGGTCTTCGGTGTAATGAGTGGACACTTTAACCACTAGGCTACGACCCTACCCTTAAATATAAAACTGATGTATTCAAAGAGTTTTGGTAATGATATTTATGTTATTTTTCGGTTTATACAAATATGCAACTTTGATGTTCGAGGACAGTCAGTGTATACTACAGGTATCTGAAACTATGTGCTATAAAAAAGTGAACAACTTATGAAAATATCAAAAATCCTACCTCGTGTTTTTCTAATTAAACTTTTCACAGAACAAAATATACAGCTTAAACATTGTCATTCTACTTGACATTGCACCTTGTGCCGACTAAGGTATGCAGTGTTCAGTCTAAGATCTATTAAAAATAGTTTTGCCTAGACAGAATGCACGTGCAGATTACATTGTGAAAAAACATTTTAAATCATGATTATCAATGTAAATAACATATGACATTTTGTTCCGAACTGTCATTAAATCAACATTGTCAAAAGTGCCTTTCCGTATTCATATGAAACCTAAAATTGTAATATAAAATTAATTCTGATTAATATGTAAACATGTTGCATATGTTGAAATTTATCTTATGTTTTTGGGGACCGTTTCTGACAAAATACTGACTGGCAATGGAAATATAATAAGCATGAAAGACACAACTTCAAGATTATATTAAGATCAGTGTTTCACCCAAAAAAGGCTTAAAAAATAACATGACCTGCCATTTCTTAGAAACCTGGAGCACGGCAACTTGACAGTAGTTAGGGACCTGAACAAAACATAAGGAGCCATGGAGCATAGCACTAGGAAGTTCATGTTATATCATGATGTTTTGGGAAACAATGTTGATAAATTGCTCTATGTTTCCTGCATCATTGATTTAGGACAGTGTACCCACAGGCTACATCCAGCAGCGTGAGTTTCATCTGCTGTTCAAGGGACACACTTCACTACAGATGTATGCAGTTGTGTACTTGTAAACTGAGATATAAACACATTCCCAACATGTATGATCCAGTTCTATTTTCTGAGAAAGCACAAGCTGAGACATGTAAACATGCTGTGTAATCATTAGAGTACTTTATCAACTTAAGTGATTGTCTGGCAGGTGATTATCTAGCATGTGATTGTCTACTTAGGAGATGCCCTTGTAGGTGATTGTCTTGTAGGTGATTGTCTAGTAGGAGATTGTCTATTAGGTGATTGTCTAGTAGGAGATTCACGTGTAGGTGATTGTGTAGGTGATTGTCTAGTATGTGGTTGTCTAGTAGGTGATTGTCTGGAAGGTGATTGTCTTGTAGGTGATTGTCTTGTAGGTGACTGTCCAGTAGGTGATTGTCTTGTAGTAGATTGTCTAGTAGGTGATTGTCTAGTAGGAGATTCACGTGTAGGTGATTGTCTTGGTGATTGTATAGTAGGTGATTGTCTGGAATGTGATTGTCTTGTAGGTGACTGTCCAGTAGGTGATTGTCTTGTAGCAGATTGTCTAGTAGGTGATTGTCATGTAGGTGATTGTCTAGTAGGTGATTGTCATGTAGGTGATTGTCTAGTAGGAGATTGTCTATTAGGTGATTGTCTAGTAGGAGATTCACGTGTAGGTGATTGTCTTGGTGTTTGTTTAGTATGTGGTTGTCTAGTATGTGATTGTCTAGTAGGAGATTGTCTAGTAGGAGATTGTCTAGTAGGTGATTGTCTAGTAGGAGATTCACGTGTAGGTGATTGTCTTGGTGATTGTATAGTAGGTGATTGTCTAGTATGTGGTTGTCTAGTAGGTGATTGTCTGGAATGTGATTGTCTTGTAGCAGATTGTCTAGTTACAGGTGATTGTCTTATAGACGATTGTCTAGTAGGTATTTATAGTACTGGTTATTGTCTTGAAGATGATTGTCTTGTAGGTGATTGTCTAGTAGGTGATTGTCTTGTAGGTGATTGTCATGTAGGTGATTGTCATGTAGATGATTGTCTAGTAGGTGATTTATAGTACGTTATTGTCTTCAAGATGATTGTCTTGTAGGTGATTGTCTAGTAGGTGATTGTCTTGTAGACAATTGTCTAGTAGGTGATTTATAGTAGGTTATTGTCTTCAAGATGATTGTCATGTAGGTGATTGTCTTGTAGATGATTGTCTAGTAGGTGATTTATAGTACGTTATTGTCTTCAAGATGATTGTCTTGTAGGTGATTGTCTTGTAGGTGATTGTCTAGTAGGTGATTGTCTAGTAGGTGATTTATAGTAGGTTATTGTCTTGTAGGTGATTGTCTAGTAGGTGATTGTCTAGTAGGTGATTGTCTTGTAGACAATTGTCTAGTAGGTGATTTATAGTAGGTTATTGTCTTCAAGATGATTGTTAATATATGAACACTAAATTTGAATATAGACTATACAATTTTAAATGAATAAACATGCTCATATTACAATGTTTAGGTAAATAATCCTAGTGCAAAATCTCTTTGAATTTATTGGCTGTGTACACAATAGAAATACATTACACTTATGACGTCTGTGTACATATATTGAATACTTTATGTCAGAATGGTGTGTAACAGTAACAGAAAATACCAAACTGAAATCCTCTGTTCATAAACCAAATTGTCTGAGATTGCTGCATTTGGAATATTCTAGGGCAACTAAGGGGATCAGGTGGTCAGATTCCCATATGAGTAGACCGATGCTCATGTTGTTGATCACTGGATTTAAGGCTCCAGACTGGATTATGTACAGACCGCCGCCATATAGCTGGAATAATGCCTAGTGTGGAGTTAAACAGCCAGCAACCAACCAACCAAATAATAATAATAATAATGAGTGAATTTGTAACGCGCCAAACTCCACGCCAGTTGGTATGCTCATGGCGCTACAAGTAAAGTTATTTACCAAATCAACTGCATACATCCATGGCCGGATACAGCTTTTTGAGAAAGGGGTGGGGTGGGGGTCGGGGATGCACAGTTCATTTTTACCCGTTTTTACGAGAGTTTCAATGGTCATTTAATAAACTGTCAAACTGTCAGGACAAAAGTGGACGGGGGTGTATCTCTGCACCCCCCTCTGGATCTGCCTTTGTACACCTATTGTACTAGATTGTTAAACATACTGTGTTACTTCAAAACAACACAATATAGAGATAATAGACATACAACTCACCTGATTTGAGATGACGACTTCACTCTTTGCTGATCTACGCAGTTTTGCCTTGTGTTGAGAAATCGTGCAATGTAATCAAACCGTATGGTTTAACACAGATAAACAGTAGTACAGGTACACTGTCTTAAGCTGACAGATAAACTTCATAAAACTAACAACTAATATTATATAATAAATACAAGCGAAGCCACATATTCAGTGTTTGTGCTCTGGCTTTTGTGTTTGTTGTTTTATTTTCATTTATTTTGTATTTCTTTGTTTTTCATATTTTTTTAAAATTCTTTTTGGGTATTTTAAAAAGAAAGTTTCCCAGAATAATGTGGAACCATTTTTCCAGGGTCACCCTTGACAAACACACACATTGTTCCATGCTGAATGGTCTGCAAAATATTGTTTAGGCCAGACCAATTTTATTTCTTGTTTTACGGATTTTTGTCCTCAGAAAACTTAACGACTGGAGGGAAAAAAAATATAAAATCAAAATCACCAGTCAAAGTAATATTCCTTCTTAATACCAAAAGTATTTTACTCTTGGCATTTATGAAGTGTATATGGGGCAAAATACAATCTAAATAAAATAACTTGTAAGTTTACACTTTTGGCCAGTTTAGGATTATATTTTTGGAGCAGGGAATTTAAAAAAAAAAAATCTTATTCGAGAAAAAATCTGACCGGGGGGATCCGTAAAACAAGAAATAAAATTGGTCTGGCTTTGTGAAAAGACATTTCACTGTTCATCTTCTGCTTGTTTTTCAGAGCGAAAAAGATTGCATGTCTTTAAGGGGACCAGGAAAGCTAACCTGCGTCTAAGAAGCATCTCAGCACAGATTGAATGAAGGAATCCTGACAAAACCAAAATGTAAGAATTTTGAAACTTCTCTGCTTATTCCTTATCAGTTAGAGGCTAGAACAATTCATATCCAGCAGATCACCTTCAGGTTACACACCACCAAATGTTTTCCCATAGACTTCTATAGTAACCTTATAATTTTTAAAAAAATAGACAGGCTATCAACAGCCATTCCATGTACACATGGGTACACTCTGGCCTTTAAACTACCATAAAACACAATATCTGGCGAACTTGTCCAGCTCGTTTTGCGAGCACAGGAAGCGGAACACATCAACCCCAGTTCCCCACCAAATGTCACCTACTGGAAAATATCTGTACACACAATAAGCGATAAGTGATGGTGATAAAAATGACAGCACTAAATATTTAAAATTGTGGTCAGTTTTAATTACTGGTTGGATGTGCTTTTAAAAAACAAACATCTTACACTATTTCATCCAATCACAGCTGTCACATGTCTCTGTCTCTCTTGACTTGTTTACATACGGACCGGCTCAGCTAGCAAGCGATACTTATTTAGTGTAGTGGAACCTATAGGAAAATTTAGAAAAATTTGCCCTAGGCAAATCTGTGATTTATGTACTGTATATACATGTAACTTCTCAGAAAAAAAATATAATTGCATGAAGCTTCAATACTTTTTCTTGTCCAACATATCTATATGGCACAAGAATATAGTGATTTGCTGCACTGACAGAGCTGTAAGAGTTATATCATGTCTATTTCACCAAAGCTATACAAAATGCACTTCTGCATTAATAGAGAAAGGTTTCAAATCATACATATACCATGGGAGTTTACTCTTATTTCACAAAAGAAGGGCGGCCATGGGTTAATTCCATGCATGACTGGGACTGCCTTGATCATATCAATCCAAAATATATTTTGAACGACAAAAATCATGGAATTCAGGCCAGAAATTGGACAGATTTAACATTAAGCAGCTTTAACATCCTGACATATGTAAGGCTGGATGATGAACTTTGCCAGAATGTAATAAGTGAGGGGTTGGATTATGCCTAGCAGTCTGAAACACTGACCACAGTACCTTGCCGCCTGTTAGTCGATCAAGGCAAATGACCCCTTCAACAGATGAAATCACTTTTAGACCACAGCATGATAAGAACTTACACTTGAATCTATTGATTCATCAAGCTAAGACTTTGAAATACTCCCAGACATTCAAAATTATTGACTGTGTATTGTTTTGAGGCTGTTAGACTTACCAATTTCATGTATAAGCCAGTTTAGAGGGAACACTGTGAAAATATCCACATAACTTTGGAAATTTATTGGTTACCCTGCCCTAAACTGAATATTTTTAATTACAATTAACAGTGTTTGGCAATATCAGCTAAAAACAGAGCTTCTCTGCAGTAATGTATGGGTTACTGGGTTAAAGAAAGACACAAATGTATTTGCGTAAACAGGGGAGATAATTTTAAGATATCGAACACTCTCATGTCAATAAAATGTGAATTCAGACCCATAATATTACATTCCACAAGGGTCAGTTGTTATTATTTACATCTAAGCAGCTTCTAGGATTGATGTACAGCCCTTATTTCATGTCTGGGAAACTGAAATACTACACACTGAGGCATTAAGGGGACACTGTCAGAAATTTCTAATGGATGAGGATGACCGAGTGATGGAATTTTGTAGTGAGAGATTGTGGTGCCTTAACTGGACTGGGACACTTAAATGTACTATATGTACCTACATGTCCAAGTACTGCAACTTCTACAAGCTGGTAAAGCATATCTAAGCAAAGGGAGTATGCTTGATTAGACACTGCCAACAATAGACTTCCGGCTGGCTTGTCGAAATACCACATTGGATGTGAAGGCTTCTTTTTCTGCTGTATTTGTGAAGATACACCTCCCCATTCACCAACAGGCATTTTACAAGCTGAAATTAGTGATGAGATTACATTAAATGTCAAATCATAAAATCCATAACAGCAATGAGACAGTTGTTAATAAAACAGAAATTCATTTTGAAAGTCCTATGGGTGAAAAAAGGGGTATATTTTTAAAAAAGGAAAAGAAAATTAGGTCGTTGCATATTCAAAAGGGGACAGACAGAAAGAATTGATCATATGCTACATTGCATTTAAAACAAGGGTTTGTGACATGTTCTGCTGTCAGCAGTGAACATATTTCATGATATTCTTATCATTTGACTTCAAATTGACCCTCAGGAGATTAACTTAGACACTCACATTGTTGTAGCAGTGGTGATTTTAACCTAATTTGTTGTCAAATTCATCAGTTCCAACAAATTTAGAAGCCAGGGAACCACTACTTGATAAAGATTCACCGTGAGGGTCTTTTCCCACTGTTCGACCACAAAACGAAGCAACGTTCATATTCTGTACTCTAAAACAATCTATTCCACTCAAAACAGCCCTATCTTTACTCCCAGTACCTTTAAATTTGCTTCTACATTAATGCTAACATGTTTCCATGGTGAAATAAACACAGGAAATTATGTAAAGTATGAATTACTGAAAAGTGCTCGAACCCTACAGGTTAGACACCACCAAATGTTTTCCCATAGACTTCTATAGTAACCTTATAATTTTTTAAAAATAGACAGGCTATCAACAGCCATTCCATGTACACATGGGTACACTCTGGCCTTTAAACTACCATAAAACGCCAACTTGTCCGGCTCATTTTGCAAGCACAGGAAGCGGAACACATCAACCCCAGTTCCCCACCAAATGTCACCTACTGGAAAATATCTGTACACACAATAAGCATAGGCGATGGTGATAAAAATGACAGCACTAAATATTTAAAATTGTGGTCAGTTTTAATTACTGGTTGGATGTGCTTTTAAAAAACAAACATCTTACACTATTTCATCCAATCACAGCTGTCACATGTCTCTGTCTCTCTTGACTTGTTTACATACGGACCGGCTCAGCGAGCAAGCGATACTTGATTTAGTGTAGTGGAACCTTCATCACAATTGCTACATGCAGCAGGAAAATACAGATGATAATAATTTGGGGTCATGTTTTATAAAAAAACATAAAAGCATAAAAGTTGAAAGTAAAAACACTCAAAAGATCACAAAATGCAATGCTTGCCATAAGAAAATTGATAACAAAAATTTGCTTGCTTTGAAAACTGCAAGAGGGGCATACCTTTAAAAACCACATCCAATGAGTGTATCAATGTCAGTGAGACAAATGCCTTTTTTCCATCTTAATGATTGTAAACAATAAAGGCAGGTCACTCCAGTTTACATGCTGCTGCAGGTCCACTCAGACCACTAAAAGAAAAATGTAATCATGGCTAAATAAGGGGTCATGTTCAGTGTTGACATGAATGGAAGGGGTAGCACATTAGAGGTGAGGGGAGGTGAAATTGGGTTTAACGTCATGCTTGAGAATATTTCGCTCATATGACGACGTGCATGCGCATGTGTGTGTATGTGCAGCTGCTTGTACTAGCCCAGACTGAAGCTGGTTTTATAGTGCTAGCCCACTGAGATACCATGCCGCAGTGAAGCATGAATACCCCACTCAGACACATTATACTGACTCCGAGCCGACCAGTCCTCGTTGTACCCATTAATGCCGAGAGCCAGGCAGGGACCAACAAGTACCATATTTTAATGTCTTTTGGTATGACGCGGTCGGGGATTGAACCCGCGACCTTCCGCTCTCCAGGCGGACACTCTAACCACTACACCACGGAGGCGGTCTGTAGCACATCAGAAGTACACTGCCATCGCAGTGAGCTCTCCAGGTCCCAGTCTTCCAGAAGCTTGCTTGGCACGACCGAACAAAAAAAGTTGATGTGACTATAATCATGTTTGTCGTGTGCATGGTTGCGTGTGTGTGTGTCTATGTTGGTTTTTTTTGCAATAGTGGTCCTCATTGTTGCAGTAGTATAACAATAGTTGTCAAATATTGAAATTGTATTGGGAGTACATGAACTTTATAGCTATAATTATGTTAATCAGTGTAACAGACATGAAGATGGTATTGTTGATTTCGAAGTCGACCATTTCTTCCCTGTGGCTACAGTACAAAAAGGAATTTAAAGCTAATCTGTTGTCATAAAGTCTTGCTTGCCAGGTGAGAAAATTGGCATGTTTTATTTATGATTAGTTGTTGTTTATTCATAACATCATTAAAACTATAAAATGTATATTTTTGACAATACATTGGCATTTTTACATTCCCATTGATACAGTACTATCAGAGGACAAACAATTGCAATATATTAATTGTTCGATATATAGCTGCACACCTTGTTTGTAGGGCAGTGTGTGTGTGTGTGTGTGTGTGTGTGTGTGTGTGTGTGTGTGTGTGTGTGTGTGTGTGTGTGTGTGTGTGTGTGTGTGTGTGTGTGTGTGTGTGTGTGTGTGTGTAAGCTAGCCTAGTGGTTAAGGTGTTAACTCGCCACACCATGGAATTGGGTTCAATTTCCCACATGGGTACAATGTGTCAAGCCCATTTCTGGTGCCAAATGCCTTGATGTTTTGGTATATTGCTAGAAGCTGCATAAAATCCAAAGCACCCGGTCACTCATTTGCAGTTTCCAGAAATTTGTGATTTATTATAGAGAAGCATGTACAATGTGAATCAGTGGCTGATCCAGAGGGGGATTCAGGGGGTTAGAAACCACCACCCACCCACCCCTTTTGAAAATGACTAAAGACCACATTGAAGTTAATGTTTAGCAATGGCAGAGCCAAGGTGGGGTTCAGGGGGTTCGACCACACACACGCGCGCACACGCGCACACACACACACACACACACACACACACACACACACACACACACACACACACGCACACACACACACACCTGGCCATACATTATCAATGGTCTCTTGTTACTCTCTCTAAAACTCCACTGTCATCACTTCTTAACTCTAACCACTAGAGCTTTTCAACTCTGAGATTTAAGAGACTTTAATTATATCATTATTATATTTCACCTTACACATTTAACTTTAATTGGACACTTGGAATATGCAGAAATCCAAAATCGTTGTATTCCATAAAGGTGGAAATTTATGTTCATATGAAAAATGGTACTACAGGGGATCCCAAATGGAAACTGTCTCGTATTATAAGTATCTCAGACTTGTCTGCACATATACAGACTTCACTATATGTGTGGCGGATTACAGATCACCACTGCAATGGGGAATTTTGACAGCATGGTCCTACCAATACTTACATACGGGCGCCGAGCTCTTGGGATATGAGGTAGTAGAACAAATTGAGAGGGTACAGACAAAGTTCATCAAAACAATTCTACATCTGCCTTTGACAACCTGCAATGATGCAGTGCTTGGTGAAAGTGGACGACCTCTATTATATGTTTCTTATGTAACTAAATGTGTTAAATATTGGGCCAAAATAATCAACATGAATAACGACAGATTACCAAAGCAAACCTATTTTATAGAGCTGTGACGATATATCGTAGTATCGATAATCGTGATACTTTATCTGACGATAAATATATCGATACATTTTTTCGTATCGTGATATGTATCGTTGACCTTAAAATTGTTAATTTTCATTAGATATTGATGGTTATGTCAAAATTTCTTGCTATTAAAATATGATTTTTTAAAGCAAATAACTAAAGAAAGCATATCGTGATATGCATCGAATCGAATCGTATCGTTCCAAGATATCGCGATACGTATCGTATCATGAAATTTCTGTATCGTCACACCTCTACTATCTAATGCTATATGGATTAGATAACATCAACAGATCTTCTTGGGCCAAAAAAAGCAAACATATCTTATTCTAGTTCGGATTCGGGTATGCTCGGGTTATGCAAGATGTTGGACACCTCTACTATCTTATGCTATATGGATTAGACAACGTCAACAGATCTTCTTGGGCCAAAAATATCAAACATATCTTATTCTAGTTCGGATTTGGGTACGCTCGGGTTATGCAAGATGTTGGACATATTGATATTGTCATGTCTGAGTTCAAACAAAGAGTGTCTGACTACAACATTCAATGATGGCAGGCTTCAATGTCATCCAACTCCAAGTTGACAGCTTATTCAACTTACAAAACAGTTCTGCATGCGGAAACCTATCTCTCACAAATCAGTTCCCCTCCATTGAAGCAAGCGTTAACCAGATTCAGATGTGGCTGCCACCAGCTAATGATCGAAATGGGGAGATGATTGGGCATAGACATCAAGAACCGTTTATGCAGATACTGCCTTTTGATATAATTTCCAGCTTGTCGAAAACGAGTACCATTTTATCCTTGTCTGCTGTGCCTTCTCCGACTTAAGAAAGCAATATATTGAGTATAAATACTATAGTAATCCCTCATTTGAAACATTTGTTAGGCTTATGTCTTCAAATCGTCAACTTACTTCTGTGAATTTGTCTAAATACATATATTTTGCTATGAAATTGTATGAATGACTTCATTTGTAATCACAATATTGAAATGTTTTGTACTGTGGGCCTGTGGCCTAGAAAAACGTGAATAAAATGACTTACTTAGTTGGACACTGTTTCTGTATGAACTGATTAATGTTAAAATGTTTTGTTGTTCATAGAATAGCGTATGTTTGAATTATGAATTGTTACCATTGATATTTATCTTCCCAGGTCAAGTGTAAAGATAAGAAGACCTGGAGGACGATGGTTCGGATGATGAACAGATGAAAAGAAGGAATGCAAGCTCACCTGTAGATCCTGAAGGTATTATAAGGTTATTCCATACCCCATGTGTATAATCTGAGAGGATTCTGAGGAGATTCCAGGATTGAATGTGTTCTTCTGTGTGCATGAATGAATCATGTATGGACTTAGATGACCAAATTTTGGTGTACCCCAACCACTGGCCATTACCCAGAATATCATGCAGTAGATTATAAGTCATGCTTTAATTCACCTGTCATGAGTTTGAATCCCAGATTAGCCCTGGTTATGTTCCTTGGTTTGTCTGCTCCATATCCATGTTCCTAGATACATTATGATGAATACTGAACTGAATACTGTTCAATTTTGCTAAAAACTCAGCTGTCTGATTGCCGACACGATTGTAGGTAAATATTAATTTTACATATTTAAATATAAGGTTTTTTTCCATCCCAACTCGGTACCAAACACCCAGGACTCCATTCCACAAAGATTTTAGCGCAATCACTGTTGTAAGTCTTAGTTAATCAATGGGAGTTACAGTTGTCTTAGCACTTAGATACATGTGTATCAGGATAACAGACATAATTTGTTGTCCCCAAGTACCGCCTGATGAAGAAGATTTCTCTATGTCTCCCTAGGTTCCTTAGTTTGTTAAATACATCATGTGCATATACGTACCAAAAGAATTCATCTATTAACAGTTACTGTACGAAGATGTTTGGAACACTTTGTTAACAATATTAAATCTTAAAAGTAACTTGCCTGCGACTTGATAACAAATTTGAATGAAACTTTAACAATTAATTTGTGGCCTTAAAAAGGCTCTTATTTATCAAAAATGTTGATTGTGTTGTAATTCTGAGACATTTTCAAGAATATCATTTCTGGTACAAGTTCAACCGGAAATGTTGATTGGGATATTTCAAACGAAAATTTCTGACATATTTTCCAGAATATACTTTCTAGTTCAAGTACAACAACTCCAGAAAGTGCCTGTATCATTACTCTCAGTTACTCTATAAAAATCTCTTTCTTTACAGATATTACCATGGAAACACCTTCATCCAGGTATGTCCTTTATAGGCAAAATTGTACGTCTTGTAACTGGGTCAATTCTGATTTGCAACATGATGATAAAATAATGTATGATAAAATTATGGATGATAAAAATATGGAGAATAAATTACGGATGATAAAATCATGGATGATAAAATTACAGATGTTAAAATTATAAACTGAAAGCCATTAGAAATGCAATTTGACTTTCTTACTTTCTTTACTCACACTAATTTCAACATATATAAACCTAACTGGCAGATATGTTTTAAGTGAACATCTGTGAATAATTTCATCTGAAAATGTCCAGTCAACAACAACATCAGTGATGCAACAACGACATCACACAAAGGAGGGGTCACTTGCAGTCAATATCGTGTGTGTCCACAGTGCACTGCAAGACATGCTCGCAGTCTTTGGGGCATTGCAAGACACACATTTCTCAGGAACAGCTGTTGGATGGTCTGCAGCCTCTGATGGTCTGTGGTCTGATCATGACACCACCCCCTCCAAAATGATCATGTTCAAGGACACAGTTTGGCGCATATTTCTCCTTTACATCGATAAATCTGTTGACGTCCATCTGCAAAGGATAAGTTAAACCTGGATTCATCTGAAAAAATGACATCTGGCCATGTCCTGTTGCCAAGATTGGCCCCATTTGCTGTCCATCGCTGTCTTGCAAGTCTGTGGCGATGCAATAAGGTTGGACCACAGTACGGGTGACGACGCCGGATGTTGAAGGCAGCAAGGCGTCCTTGCACCTTGTGGGCGCTGAAATGGCGTTGACTTGTCCCAATTGTCCTCCTTGCCTAATCATCAGCTGTTTCGCAAGTGTGAAACTCGGATATTGCGGTTTTGTCGAGCTGTTATCACAGGTGATGCAACAGGTCGCGGACGATCAGCAACACTTCCAGTAGCCCGAAAACTTTGTCTGAGTCGACTTACAGTGGGTGGATGCACGTTAAAGTGCCTGGCAATCATCACATCTGAAGCACCTTGGCTGACCATACCGATAACCTGATTCCTTTCGTCTTGTGTCAAGTGTGGCATTTTCTCAAAGTGATTGAGTTCCACAATTCCTTGTGCTTTTACAGGGCCTGGGTGCAGGTGTTTCATGAATTTGGTTTCATGAATGTGGTTGTGTTTACGAGAAATGTCAAAGGTTCAATTTAAAGTATCAAAGTTCATGTGAGAGGAATGCTCCGGGACTCGAACTCGAAATGGTCCAGAATAACAGCTTTTTATCCCTACATCCTCTGTATCACGGGGAAAAATCTTCAATAGAACTTTTGTAAGTTTCAGGACAACAAATACCAATTGCATTTTTAATTGCTTACAGTATAGATGATAAAATTACTGAATATACTGTTAGATTTATTTATCTATATGTCATCACAATTAAATGATCCGCCGTGATTGTGTCCAAAGTACATTGAAGTCACTCACTCATGTGGATCCTATGAAGATCTGGGTTAAAGCTGGTCTTCAGCAACCCATGCTTGTTGTAAGATGCGACTAACAGGATCAGGTTGTTCGGATCTGTGCCTTGGATAACACATGTCGTCGCATCCAGTTTGTTTAGGCTGATGCTCATGATGTCAGTCACTGGATTGTCTGGTCCAGACTTGAGTTTTTACAGTCTACAGTCTGCTCTGAGTCAGTTTTACGCCGCTTTTAGCAAACACAACAAACAGGTGGGGACACCAGGTGTACAATGGGGATTAGGGCCATGTCAGATGCTTTAACCACTTACCCCACAGCCCCAGTCTGTTAGAAGCAAACACACAAACAGGATATGTTTACTGATAGTCATTTCAGATGTAATATATTTCAGTGGAGACTTTTCTTAATAAGTCACTTTACATCAACAGTGAATATATTTTGGCACACAGATGGAGAGATTACAGAATTTGAACCAGAATGCTATCGGTAGGTTCACATGTTATGATTTCAACATTTTGGGGCTGAGTTATTTTCACTAGAAATATAATACATAAATACTACTTTGAATTGTTTCTCAGACCTATATTGTAGGGCTGTAACGATGCACTATCGATGCATTGCAATTGTTGAGTCTCCAATAGCAATTAATCAATGGTTTAAGTGAAAAACTATCGATGCATCGATAGTATGTGTGACTATAGATAGTTTAGTAATTGTCTTTCGTTGATAAATGAGCAGACTTGCAGCTTCATTGAGTTTATGTTTTAACTGTTTACTTGATCTGGGTTTCAAGTTTCTTGTCAGTTATATAAAAGAAACTACTTCAACTTTTATTTCATATAAACTATACATTCATATGGGAAATGACTTCAAATGAGACAATTCAAGGAGAAAAAAACTATAGTATTGCAATAGTTGGTAGCAATACACTATCGCTATCGCAATAGCTGTTCCCCCTCAATAGTCACCCCTACTATATTGCCATCATTGCTACATTTACAGAACATTTACCAGAACATTATGTTAGGTTTGTTTTGACTGTGTTTTGATAGGCAATATCTTCCATAGCTGCATGATAAAGTAACACTGATGTTACATGAACGTTTGACTCATTTTTCAGCGCCATATACAGAGGATGTTAGAAAAGGAGGGATGAGAGCCTTCAATGTGGCAGATTCTCCTAATGCTGTAGTCGCTGAGAAGGTAGTCATCAACCAGAACAGTAAGTATAAAAAGGGATTAGTGACATAATCTAAAAAAATATTTTATCATCTATAAATACGATCGTTACATCTACATAGAAGCTCTTTTCATCTTCAGTAGAAAGTCTTTTCATCTTGGTAGAAGATACTTACATCGATATAGATGATACTATCATTGAGCTCTTCAGGACTTATATTTATCAAAACTTTGAAAGTCACAGGAAAATGAACGGAACTGGTTCAGCCATCTAGTTAGGAACACCACTGATGTTTTTAATCACATATCTGACAATCAGTAATGGCCATTCATTTTTCTCTTTTTAAAATTTCATTTTGATTTAAGACTACAGTTTTATAAGTGTTCATACCCAGTAATCAAAAGTACTCAGTGGCTTCCAGCCAATCAGTGAGAAACATAAACAACTGTCTGTTGCTCAAGACAGTGAAGGCTCATATGATCATGCTTTCAGCTCCTGTGGTTACCCGATTGGACAAGATAAAGGGTATGTTTCATTAAATTTTATAAGTATGAATATATTGACAGGTATCTCCGTTTTTTAGAGCAATCATTCTTTTTTAAATTAATTTTTAGATGTATTGAAAAAAGAAGTTTTTTGGTTTAAAAGTATTTTTCTTGACTCACCTGAATTTATTGTTATATATTTGTTTATACCAGGGCATATTGTCAATGTCACCTTTGGGGTGGTGGGGTAGCCTAATGGTTGAAGCGTCCGGCTTGAAGACACAGGTTGAAGACCATGGGTTCGAGCCCATTTCTGGTGTCACCTGCTGTGATATTGCTGGAATATTGTTAAAAGCGGCATAAAACCATACTCACTCACTTACTCACTGGGTATTCTTTTGCACCACTGGATAACATTAGGTCCCCTAAACATCATGGAAACTAGGTCATTAAAACAGTGAAGTTGTAAACTGCTGTGACCAGTATGTATTATGTATTTGTTATCAATCAAATGAAGATCAATCAATGTGATTTGGATAAAATGACATAAATCAATCCAATTTGTGGGTGGGGTCTGTGAAAGGTCAAGGTCAGTACCCAATCCAATTTGTCCATTCTTATTACCATTTTACATGACATGAGGATGGGGTCTGTGAAAGGTCAAAGGTCACTAGACTGGTCAAATTATGTATCATGCTTCAAATTTCATGAAATTTCTGATTCGTTTCTGAGGAATCATTTTTCATGTTCGTCTGGCACTCAGTATTGTTCTCACTTGTGTTTTGGTGACACTGAAGGTCAAGGCCATCCCAGAAAATATCTGTGGACAAAATATAAAAAGTTGTTATCCATAAAGTTTGTCAATATTCTACTGTTATCTATTTGGTAAAGTTAAAATGGGTCATATGTGATAGGTTTAGGTGAATTCAGGAAAAGAGCTGTTTCTATTTATTTTAGTCATGAATAAACACCTTTCTTGTTTAGTTAATCATATAACTTTCTGTATATGTTAAAGATCGATTTTCTATGTTTTAAATCTGAATATGTGTGTGTAGTGTTTCCAAGTTTCATGATTCGAAGAACAACATGAGGGATAAGAGTCGAGCCAAATTTGTATTCTGAATTCGCACATTAACAGCGTTTAAAATTCCCGCCTGGCCGACCGTCCGGACAGTCAAATTTCAAAAGTAGCCTGTCCGGTAGTCTGGTAGATGTTTTTACCCTTAACAGTAAATATTTCATAATATCAGACAGGTTTTCTTGTCGTCAGTTTGAGGTGTTTAAGGTATTATGATAATTATGTTAAACTATTTACGATTGGACAGTTCATTTTACAAGAACCAATCAGAACACATGTACTTTCATCCTGGTTCCCTGGGTCTGTTTAGCGCCTGCGCTAACACTCCGACACTGTGGTTGCTGCATTCGTTACTCACTTGTGTTATTCGGGACAAGCTGAATAGCTTAGGTTACGGAAAGGGCGAACTGTGGCGAATGTGGTTGCCTGGGTCAGTGTCGAACATTAGCGCAGGCGCAACAGACCCAGGAACCAGGCTGATGTAACGTTCAGTTTTTAACTCGGTGCATTGACTGGTAATTTTTAAAGTTATCAGTACGATCTGTCAAGTGTGTAATTTGGGAATTTTAAACACTGACATTGATACTGCAAGTTCAATCTGACTCATATCTCAAAAGTTACAAACTACGTAAGCAGACCTCACAGTCACAACGACACACTGATTTCTTACGTTGGATTTGTAGACTCCACATGTGCGACATTATGATGCATCAGAGAGTACACCATGACTTAGAAATTCACAAACATCAAATTCACAAACATCCCATCGCGCATGAACTCCAAGCACCACGGTCTACAAGGGAGATAACTCTAATGAGTTGAA